TTCAAAGGTCCTTAAACTCATAAATTGATTAAATAAAACAAAGAATTCAAGAATCACCTTTAGTAAACATGCTTTGAAACAGAATGTTGTATTTTTGAGGTTTCAAAGGTTTGGACTGGGGCTGGTAAGACATTTCTCAGTTCATACATCAACAAAGCTCCTTCTTTGACCTTGAAAATAGCAGTTTTGCTATCTATCTATCTATCTATCTATCTATCTATCTATCTAATACTTCAACCAATGTCTGCACGAGGTGCCATTTTTATGAACCAATCACGCCTCCCTGTCTCCCTGCTCGTTCTCTCAAAGCATGAGCTGAGGTCCACTTCTGGACCAATGGCGCTTGTGCATGTAAGGGAGGGGCGTGGCTTTTGAGGGAGCACAGAGGGGAGGGGGCGGGTGCAGATGGAGCACTGAGGGAATGCTACTTTCAAAATCATGCTAGTTTTCTAAAATTACCAACCCTGCCTTTAAATGATTTAGGTTAAGCTACAACATCAACAAAATCACACAGGGTCCATTTAGCAGCTGCTCAAGTTTTCAGTGATGCAAATGAATTCTGTACTGTTTTCACGGATTGTTTTTTGTTTCTCTGTTAAATGGGAATCAGACAAACTCTTTTTGTTGAAAAAGCTCAAAACAACATCTACCAAGTGGACTTTGTTATGAGATTGTTTTCTTATATCTCTTCCTTTCAACTAACTCAAATTCATTCGCTCACGTAGGCCATGGAAGAGATTAGCAGTCAAGGAGAATCTTTTTTAAGCAGCTATTTCAGGTTTATTTTCATTCTGTAAATCTATACACAGATATCTTACAATACAATTAAAAAGTAAAGCTTCTCACACTGCTAAGAGGAATTAGTTTGCAAGGCTTCAACACAAAGGCACAAAATGGTTATAGCTAAATATTGTTGTGCTTAAAAACATGTGACCACAAAAAGGTGAACTCTGTTGTCACTCGGACTATGAGCTGAGCACCAACTGACTGACAGGATTTACCCTGATTTGGAAAGCAAACCATTAATCTTACCCCGTGCTGATAAAACACAATAAAGCATTTTGAATGGAAATTACACTTGACCGTCCAATCTTTTGTAAACAATGAAAGAAACACTAAAACAGATGTCATAGCCTCTCGAAAACTGTTACCTGTTTTACAGACTAATACCCGCATTAGAAACAGTCCTTGTTTCAACCTCAATTACTACACACACACGCACCTGCAACTCAGCTATAAAGAAGAAAATAAAAAAGTACAATACAGAGTGTCTTCTTCTACCTCTCACCTTCCTCTTTCTGACCAGCTCTCCCTGCAGGTGGTTGATCTGGAGAAAGGATCCATTGGAGCTGACAGCGCTGACAGGCCGGACCAGCCGTACAGGCCTCCTGGACGGTCTGCAGAGACCTTTGACTTCTTCTACCATCCCGTTAGCGAAGCGGCTGCCTCTGTTTATGTTACTGCTGCTCATGGAGAAGGACGTGTACAGGCTGTCGTCCATCGAGGACTTCCCCACCGTCTGCAGATCTGAGTGGGATTTGGCTCTGAGTGACATTTCAAAGCCAGATTGGTGCAGTTGACTTCAGAGTGACGCCTCACTGTATTTGTCAGGATGTTGTTGAGTAACCAGGAGCACTATTTTGTGTTCATAATGTAGAGGTGGGAAGTGAATGGCGTTCTCAGTTTCACGCAGAGTTCACTGGGTGGATACGATCACCAAGCGAGGATCATTAAGAATTCATGAGGCAACATGATAGGACAAACCTTCACGGGATAACATTCAGTCTGTGTGTTTTGGTATGAAGGAAACTTTCATCTTTTAAAGTGAGAAATGTAGGTCAGATTTGGAAATGCAATTTGGCTATCTTCTGGCCTTTTCATGGTGATAGAGCAAGCAAGAAACAAAGCTCCTTGGTAGGGCTAATGGCTACTTAGATCTTTGATAATACAGCATTGCATAGCAAGTCAAAGCAAAGACATTTCTTCTTAAATTGGAATTATAGACGCAGGAAATATATGAGGGGCTTTCCTTTGCTATTTTACGTTTGCAATATGAAAGTAAGAAAAGCCAAGGGTGTTAATGTTGGTCCAAGAAACTTTATGACTAAAGCCTCTGATCTCCTGTCTTCCCAGACTGGCAGGGAGGGTTGCCTATCCCTCATGTTACTGTGTAGGTGCCAGTGAGCAAGGCCCATAAGAAGTGAGGTGTTAAAAAACAAACAGAATGCACTCACATACCAACCGTATACATGTATAACAGTTAATTATACATGTGTGTTGTCAGCCATAAAAATACAGTCATGAAATGATTATTTGTTAAAACTTAGTTAGATCAAAGAGAAACAGTAAAAAACAGACATGAAGGTACAGTATATTTTTCAATGTTCAGGTCTCAGTTATAATCTCATGTCCATGAGGTAGACTTTCTGCAGTGATGCTACATGAGTTATGCTTTTTCTTCTCAATGGATTAAGTAAGAGTTCCACTGGTCTTGACCATAGACTGTACATTTGAATGGACTAAGCCTGAGTGACATCACCATCTGTTCCTGCAGGGCGCTCCAGAGGCTCATTGGCCATGCTGGAAATCCTGTCTTAGCCTAACATTTAGTTAACCTAACGACAGGCTGAGAGCTCGAGCAGAGGCGGGTTTTAAGCCTCCTGACAAACCGTTACATCACGCCCACCTGTCAATCAGGCCATCTACAGCCTTACTATGGATAAAAAGTATTACTTATAAAATCAAAACATATGGGTTGTAAAAAAAAATTCCCTTCCTGTACAGTGTGTGCCTGCACCCTGCAGCCTGAAACATGGAGGAAGCTCCATTAATTATATGTTATTTACTCAGCCATGACAGGAGGACATGTTGAACTCTCTCCCTCAGCACCACCATACATTAAAACATCACAGCTGTCAGCAAGTGACTGTAAATACAGAGGACCAACACAGGAGGTGACTCCTCATGCTAACAGGCATGAATTACTAACACATTGAGCTTTCATGCTCGATTAAAGAAGCAGGCAGGCTTTTGATCCTAACATTTCTGTATCGCCTGGTTTCTAATGTGAAATATTAAGATTTACTTGAGCAGATATGATGAGGGTTGGATCTAGAGGAGTTCTGCATGATGAATCAAAGTAAAGACAAACATGCAGCAAACAGTGCTTCTTTACTCTGACTAAAGACAAACTAAAACCATGATTATCATCAGCAAAGGTTGTATAGACACCTCTTATTAGTCCATCTGATACTTTATTTAAAGTGGTGATTAAAAAAGTAAGAATTAAGAGTGTTCAGAGGTTTAGAGGTGACAATAAATTGAGCTGCCTCCTGTTTCCAGACTGTATTCTAAGTTAGGCTGATTGCTGTCTGTGGCTTCATACTTAACCGACAGATATTACAGTATTATTGATGTTCTCCTCTTACTTTAGGCAACAAAAGAAGTGCATACAGTATATTGCAAAATGTCAAACTATTGCTTTTTAAGGCTGTGTATTTTTTCCACACCTCATTCATAAGACCTAAAAAGAGATTTAAAGCTACTGTGAGTTTTTTTTTAGCTAGTCATGGAACAGGATGAATTTAACGTCAATGCCTCTTTATGAGTCACAAAAGCAAACAAGACCATATGCATCAAGACTGACTACTTCTCTATACTTGATTTAATGACTGAAACTGCTTCTTTCGGGTATGTTTAAGACAAAGCTACAAATAGCATGCTGCAGAGACAGACTTTGCAGACATTTTTCCACTGCAAGTATTGACAGTGAGTGATGTGTTTGAAGAAAGCACAACAAGATTATTTTATTACTCAGTGATACACAACATGCTGCATTAACTTTCATTTTTTTTAACATTTTCCACAGCAAAGATTCTTGATAAGTTATAAAAAAAAATAAAAAAAAATAAAGCAAAATCATGACTCACAAATGTATGGGACAAAATGGTTACGAGGTACCACTTTGTCCACAGGGGGGTGCCAAAACCAACACAAACTACAAGGTCATCACAGGAGCTTTAAAGATGCGTATTACCTTTTGATTTCAAGTCATTTAGATATAACTTTTCAACAGTTAGCGTTGTTATTAATCATTCTAATCAATAATATGATACATACAGCTCACACATGTAGGAGCATGAGAAACATAGTTAAAGGCAATGTAAAGAAAACTAAAAGGTTCAAATGACTGGTAATGCATTTAAAGTGACCTTAACCTGGTAATGTCACGGTTAGAGGTTTGATTCCACCCAATCTGACTCCTACTCGGAACATTTAAGACACTGTGCATTCAACTGCCTGTAGTTTCTGGCTTCTTTGATGTACGCTATGGGGCATGCTGTTGTTTCTGTGTGGGTTTTAAGCAAAAGTAAGAGGGTTGAACAACCTTTACTTTAGCCCCGAGAGCAATGCAGTGCAGCAGCAACATACAACAGTTTGACAGAGAACAGAAGAGCTTGATATAGTGACAGAGAAGAAGGGTTAAAGTGAATATAAAACAGAAAACAGGCACAAGAAGACACAAGGGACAATGTGGAGGAAGTTCCCTTTCCGACAGGCCCATCAGGGCAAACATACCTCTGAAGAATGGATGCTGGCTAAGCAGAAAATCTCTAACCCAGGGAAAACCTTTGAAAAACAGGTTTAAAGCGATTGACTTCATCTGTTTTTTTTGTTTTTTTAAACATGACTAATTACCTCTTTAACAAACCCACAAGGATCCTCTTCTTTTATTGATATCGCTCACAAGGCCACTTAATGTGTCCTGTCTTACTGCTTTATTATTTCCAGGAAATCCTCAATTTGTTTTCATTCTAAAGTACTTTAGGGTTGTTTTTGTTGTCACATATCTGCATTTCTGGAAGCAAAACAACAAGGTTTTGATGAAAGAGAGTTCTCGTGAAGGTCTTTAAAATAATGTGGATGTGTATGTTTTATCTCGTTCAGGGCCATCGGGCAGGTTTGACCTCGTCTTCCTGTTTCCTCGTCCACACCACATTTTGTCCTGACAGCTGCTCCCTCTGTGTGTTCGCTGTATTTGCTTCTTCACTTTCAAACACCTCGCATATTTAGATTTTTATAGAAAACATGGCAAGACTTTTTGTGTTCACTCTGTCCTTGTTTTGGTTCTTTCCAGCATTTTCGCTTGCCTCTGGCTCCAGTCTGAATAAAGGTAAGTCACATGTTTCAGATGTCGATGGAGCATCACGTTTAGTCCCTGAACTGAATCAGTTATGTGTTGTATTCTGATATTTTCTTTTTCTGGTACGAAACCATGAAAGTACAACACTACTTTCACCCATAATCTATAATGTTAAAAGTAATATTTGCAGGATTTTAGGATCTAACTTGTGCGCTCTGCTTTGTTTTTTTTCATGTGATAAAAACGGATTCCACGGTCAAATAAGAAAGTATAAAAAACATGAAAATACATAAAAATCATCAGATATTTTTACTAGCTAAATGTAAACATGTTTTATTTTGTTTACGTGTTTTTGTACCCATGTGCTAGGGGGTTAGTCTGAGGCTTTTTTCACCTAAGTTAAAAAAATGTTTTGCACAGATATATCAATACCCCTCATACTTAGAAGAGAGTTAAAATCATTGTGTAAAAAAAGACAACCTAAGAGTCTGACTTTTGCTTTCAAATCATTTGTCTCTAACAACATACCTGCTGCTAAATCAAGATCACATAGCAGCTGGAGTCTTCCTGCTCATTGAAGGAGGAGGAGTGTACACCTTTAACTTCACTGCTGCTAGAGATGCCTGCCTATTTCTGAACGTCACCATGGCGACAAGAGCCCAGGTGGAGCGAGCAGTGCAGCATGGACTGGAGACGTGCAAGTAGGCTGGAAGCATTTGGTGATGGTTCTGGTAGTGATATAAAACCCTGTTGATGCATGCTGACCAATTTTGAAGTGTCAATGATTTATTGAACAGCTTCTTAATGGTTAAATAAACACTTTAGTATCAAGTGCCACATACAATACAGTCTAACCAACACTGATTTCTGATTAAGTAAAAAAAACCCTATCTGTCTATTTGAGTGTGTTTGAGGACGACATATGTGCATGAGCAGTGATTTGATACTTAAAGCACCAGTAACTGATTTACAACTTAAGGCATTTGTTGGGTCAATTCTTTTGTAAAGCTTTAAAAACAGCTTTTGTTGTTAAATTAACGTAATACACAAATCACTTTATTGCTAATTTAGTCATTTGAAAGAACAATTGAAGCCATAACTATGAATGCTGTTTCTTCATATGGTACATAGTTAATATCTCGTTTATCTTTCCAGTGTGAACATTTTGTTCTCTCCTGCTAACAAACACAGCTGATCAGGAGGACAGCAGACAAAGGCTTATTACTTATAAGCATTGTACGCCTGAGTCATTATACTTTCATTGGATGATTTCAAAGACGTACAGATTGAGATCGAAGTCACAAAATAAGAGCTTTTGTGTTGCCGTGCAGTTTAACGTAGGGGTGTGTTATATTGAGATGTACTACTTGATCACTGGGCTTGTTGGCTTTCTCTACAGTTTTTTCAAAGTGGTCACTTGTGGTACTGCAGCCTCACAAATAATCCCTATTGGCTTTGAGAGTATTTCCCCATACATCATTGTTCTAAAACATTTCTGTCAAAGGTTATAATTGTGAGTTCCTTGTGGGGCTGAAAAAATTGCAATCTTTAGGGTGTTGTGCTTGAAGCAAAAAACTTCAAAACTGGACTGCAGAGGTCTGCAATTCTCACGTCTTTCTAACTCTTCTTGTTTTTGTTTATACAGTTATGAACACTTTTTTTTTTACCTGACCATTGATTCCTTTATCTGTACTTGATTCCCTGTGTTAACAGATTTGGCTGGATCGCTGAAAAGTGGCTGTGGTCCCACGACTTACTGCTGAGGAAAAATGTGGAAGGGGCAAAACTGGAGTGGTGCCATGGGCTGCAAACACAGATACAAAGTTTGGTGTCTTTTGCTTCAATGCAACAGGTACGGTTTATTTGAGTAAGTATGTTTCATGTTAACTTATAATTATTGAAGCTGAATGAGCACTCCCAATTAGTTATTTTTGTTATGACCATTGTGTGCATGCGTAAGTGGAGCTCTAAAGCTTCCTGAGAAGAAGATGTAAGGCTTCTCTTGTCATCACATTGCAGACGACATGTCAGCATCCAGCCCACAAAGCTTCACGTCCTCCACCACACAGACAGCAGTGACCCCGACCTCCACACCTGCTTCGCCTGGGCTCACTCTAACAACCACGTCTCCGCCTTCAAGAGAGCTGAAAACAATAAAAGCCTCTGTGCTGACATCATTTACTTCAGCTGTACACGTCAACACAACACCTTCAGGCAGGATCACCTCCATCCCCACCTCTCATAAACCTTTCTCCACTCATGTTCCTACGTCTCCATCTCGCCTTGTCAACACCTCAAAACCTACAGTCTTCAGTTACGCCTTAGATCATGTCTCAGATATCACCTTCACGTCAGAGTCAGTGACAACACCAACGATAGACTCTGAAAAACCTTCTCTAGGAGGTGCGTTCTTGTCTCCTTTATTTTTAGATTGACATGTTTTTGGTCTTATAGTGTCTCCTTCCTCTACTTTAATTAACTTACTATTCCATTCTTTCATGAAAATCTGACTTTAGGTGCTATTTTTGATTTAAAGGGTATAAATCCAGACATATACATTGTTTTCATTGCACTTCTTGTTACCAGTAAATGTAACGTTAATCTGTGTAACTGTGTGTTAATCTGTAAGAAAACTCTTGTTCTAATCATCTTTATTTGACAGCTTTACAAAGACTTACAAAAAGATATGGTGCAATGAAGCAATTAGAAAATAAAATACATAATTAATAAATAAATAAAACACATGAGGATGCTTTAACACATCTCAAAACCATAATTAATTATAAGGTCTTATAGGTATTTAACACTCAGCAGCCTGAGTTAATTTATCAATCGTGAAATTTTTTGAATTCTCTGATTGAATTTGGTATTTATTTATTTATCCATATACTATTTAGCCAAGAATATGTCGGCAAATATGCAGCTTTCAAACTTAAACACTTGAATCTGCATTATTCACATTTTGGCCACTAGGGGGTGAAGAACGTGTGATTTAACAGTGATTTAAAGCACATCAAACTACATTATTGATTACAGATTTTAGCTTGAGCTTGGCTTTACGCATGAGACCATGTAATACAATCCATATAGAGTTAGCTGCAGTCAGTTTTAAATCTTTATTTGTGGTTGTTTTACAGACGTACCAACAGCACTCATCATCCTCTGTGTCATTGTTCTGCTCCTCACAGCAGCAGGCGTGGTGTGGTACTACAAACTGTGAGTTGTGTTTTCTTGTGTTACTATAAAAAGTCTGAAACTGATTTTTTTTTTTAGAAAACGTGATTTTTTTTTTTTAAACAAAAAGAGCTTCTAGAGATCAAATACAGATAAATAAAAGAAAGAAAAACATTATAACTCATCCAGTCTGACTGATAGAAAATCATGTATGTCTCGTAAGTATAGAGATGTATTGTCTTTAATGTCACAGATCAATGTTTTTATTGATTTAAGTTTGGTTTTTGATATTTTATGATGTAATATTTTTCTCTCTTTTTTGGGGAAAAAGGAATATTTTCACCTTTTGGTCTCAGACGCAGCAGAAGGACGACATAGAGACAGAGATGTGGAAGCACACCAGCAGTGAGATGGACCTGCACAGTTTACAGGACGGAGAAGAAGAAGACGAAGAATCAGACAGGAAGTACTCCAGTGACATCACGCTCTGTGTGAATCCTGACACCAAAACAAACTCTTCAGAGTAGCTTCATGTTAACTCTTTTGGAGTTTTTTACTTTTTTATTTGTGATGTGGATTGAGTAATTTCAGCCTGATCCCAGTATTTAGTTTGTTAATACAAGTCATTTACAAACCATAGGATGGTTAACTTTTTTTTAATGTGCCTTCCAAAAGGATTGTAAATATACTTGTGCATTTTATGTTTTTCTATAAATGTTGTCTTTGTTGATTGATGTAGAAAACGGCGATCCTCCCTGTGTTTGTGTGTGAGAATAAATGAGTCGACTCTTGAAAGGTTTTGGATAATTTAGAAATAAACCGTCGTTTTTTATTTGGACACTGAAGTTGGTCGGCAGGTTTGTGTCCTATTTGAAAGGTTGTTGAAGTCTATTTTAAAGTGTAATGAATGAAGTAAGTTAAGAAAAGGATATGAAGCTTGACATTTAAATAACAATTTTAGTAATAGGTTTTCTCCTGATTTGTAAGCAGAGATCAAACCTTACGTTTGCTTTCCCACTTAGAGGTGAAGGGCAGTAGACAACACAGTTACACTTTAAAATGTTTTTAAGCAATTCAATTTATTAACAATTTAATTATACAACCAATACACTCATGATAAAAGACACATGGGATACATTAAGATAAGCAAATATATAAAAAACTGTAATTCATTGCTTTATAAAATACAACTTAACCAATCAGAGGATATAAATAATATTTGCTGTACAAATAAAGCTTAGCTTTCAGTCAGATATTTTTCAAAATAAGAATAAATGTGAAGGAAATGTAACATTAGTTGAAAACCCGACTTTTTGTCCAGCTTTCTCATTTAATTTGGGCCTCTTATGTTCTGTCACATTACTGTCAGTGAGAAAACGAGGTAGTACTCTATATTCACCGCTTAGTGGCGCTAATGAGCAATTTCAAAGTTTGACAAAAACATGAAGAAGGAGAAGCGTGAGCTCGTCACGTGAGTCTTGCCCACATCCATGCGCATGCTGGAAACAATGTTTTAAAATCATTGCTGTAACACAGCGACACACGTACCGGGTAAACTGAGAGCCTCAGGCGGGGGTTGAATTATAAAAGATGCGTCGTCTGGGCTCCGTTCAGCAGAAGATACCGTGTGTGTTCCTGACCGAGGTGAAGGAAGAACCGTCCAGAAAACGGGACTGTCAGGTGAGTGCTGATGCTAGCATGGAGCTAACAGAACGCACTGTTGTAGAGTTTGTTGCCCTGGAAACAACACATCTTTTTTGACGTCATGCTTATTAGGAGAACGTGCTAATGTTTTTTTTTTTTTGAGCTGTGACGCATCTTGTCTCCTCGTCAGTTATACAGGTGAATCCTCCTGCAGTGTCAGGTGTAAACAAAACACTCCCATGGCCAAAGGTAGAAATAGTGATCTATGTAATACAGAGTTTGTCTACAAACATAGATGTAACATTTTAGAGCTTTATCAGTGTGCATCAGCTTTATATCTACCTTTATTTAAAGGTAGATATAAAGACGAATAGATGTGTTGAATAATCCAGAATCCTAAAGAAGCATTGATCATTTACAGACTCAAACAAGAGAGTCACAGCTACACTTCTTTACCTCAGTCCTCATATTCATAGATCTATTAGCGGAATATTACACTTAAAGTAATAACAATGCATCGCAAATATGAACAAAAGACAAAATAGATGGAGAATTCCAACATGGAAAACTATTGTAGCAAAATGTATTAGAAATGAAAGGTCCTGTTCTGACCTGCAGACAAACCCATGAAGCCCTCAGTAGATGTATTTCCATACATTCTGTTTTACCCCATTGTTTAGTGATATTGTTTTTTCTTCTTCTGAGATCTTGACGCTGGTTTTCCAGTCAATCTCTCTGGATCTTGGTAAAACGGCTGAAATCGACTGACTTTGAAGTTAAGCAGACAACTGTAAAAAAAAATGGAGCAGACAGAACGAACAAACAACCACAAAGTGAAAACAGCATCAGATTGAATCATACTGACTTCAGAGAGAAGCACAAGCAGATAAAAGATGCAACAAGTTAAGATGACGTGCTGAAACAATGAAGAAGAGACCCAAAAAAAAAACATTAATCCTTGCACTAATAATGAGATCATGGTGTACAGGATTAACAGTTGCTATATAGTGTTTCTCTTGACACTTAATTTCAAACATCTCTGTCTCTTCAGCAATTTCAGGTTGTGGCCAGTGAAAGTGTGAACCCTGTTGCCCTGGAGGCCAACATTGATTGTGCGCTGGCCACAGAAAAACTTGACGGCACCTGCTGTTACGTTACATTATATAAAGGTGGGTACCTCTGTTGTATTTGCTTCTTATTGAGAAGAAATGAATGTTGATGATGTTGGTACTTTGTCTGTTTTTTGTAGGGCAACCTTACCTCTGGGCTCGACTCGACAGGAAACCAAACAAGCAGGCAGAGAAGAGGTTCAAAAAGTATCAGCATGCCCACAGGAGCTGTAAAGGTATCTGCACTTAAGTACACAAGGGCACCCCACATGAATATATGTGGATGTTCTGAGGAGAGATTCAGGAAAGAACTGTTGAGTTAGCCCGATGGATAGAAGATTGGGATGACACCCAAGTAAATGAATGACATGTTGAACAGTTGCTGTATTTTTAAAGGAAGGCTGGACTACTTGTTGTAATCTTTCTTTTCTTTGTCAGGATTCACATGGAACGTAGAGGAAGATTTTAAGACGGTGCCAGAGGCGTGGATCCCCGCCCACAGAGTCAAACACCACCATGACCAACCAGTGCCTGATGAGCACGGACACATTCCAGGTCTGTGAGTCTCACCTGTGCTCAAATGGATCTAAGGATACTTCTGATTAGACACATTAGATAGTGGAACCTCACAAGCTTTACTGTGTGCCCTTTCATTATGACTCAAACAGAAACATCAGTAGAGAGACGCTACAGCTGTGTTTAATATGAAGACGTTACACTCTCCTCATCCTGCAGCCGAGAGCAGTGCAACCAGAGACGTACAATAAAACAAGAATTATCAACAAGTGATAGGTTTAATAGGATTTGAAATGTCCTGCATTTACTGTAAAGTAGGGCAGAGTATCAGAGTATTTTCCCAAATGGAGTTTCTAAGCCTCTTGTCTGCGTTTCCACCGAGGTCTAAAGACCCTTGAAGATTGGTCTACATTTTCTGTGTTGTGTTTAAAATCACACCTGATTCTCCCAAGTCCAGAGGATACACTGAAGACGTTTTCTTCTAACTAAATAAAATTGTCGCATGTTAAATATTCAAGCATTGTACGGCGACATATGCAGATAGCCTATGTAAACTATTAGCTGCTCTGCTGGTCTTCTGATGCTGTAGAATCAACCAAATCAAATGTTCAGCACCACAAGTCACCCCTCCAACATCTGAAACATTAAAAGTACTCCACCTTCAGCTGCGACCGTTTGGAGGGTTAAATAAAATCCCTGCTCTTTCATAGATATTTGTTCGCTGCATTGGGAGCGCACCAAGTTCCTCTTAAAGGATAATTCCTGCTTAATTGTGTTACTCCTGCAAATACAGGGTATAGAGGAGTTTAAAAGTAAGGACCTACATTAGAATATCACCAAATTCAAAGCAGCTAATTGGCGTATATTGACTTAGGCTTCAGATTTTTAAATTTACATTGAAAGACCTCTGAAATTTAGTGTGCAAAGACACGAATGAAAGAGGTTCGGTTTCCTGGATTTCAATGAGACACAACAACACTGACCTTTCTGACACGGCACATATAGATTAAATGTTTCTGTCACTGAAGATTGGTGCTGCCTGATGTGATTTGTTCCTGTGTGAATGTTCAGGCTGGGTTCCCGTGGAGAGTGACAACAAACAGTACTGCTGGCACTCCTCTGTGGTGGATTATGAAGTCGGGGCGGCTATTGTTCTCAGGCCCAGCGCTGATGATGAAGATGTGCTAGAAATCGTTGCAGTGCCGCTGGCTGACCTCCTGGAACAAACACTGGAGCTCATCGGGACCAACGTCAACGCAAACCCTTACGGTAATGTGTTACTGAGGATTAACTTTGAACGTTTTTGCAAGCTTGTGTTCATGGAGGATCCTCTTTTTATAGCAACTTGCTGGTTAAAGATTTGGCTTGTCAATGTTGAAAAAGCAGAATGTTACAAATGAGCATCTGTGCTGTCAGGGTTTCATGTTTCTGATACAGACTGCAGATGTTAATGTTTATGTATCATGTATATTTTTCAAAAGGTGAGTGATGATCACTGTGGCACACTTGTATTGTATGCAACAAAAGTCTTCAAACTTTTATGGTCTCCACAGGACTGGGGAGTAAGAAGCAGCCGATTCACTTCCTGGTGTCTCACGGGAGTGTTCGAATCAGAAACCCTCCACTGGTCGACTATCAACAGGTCCGCTCCTGGTTCCAGGAGAGTCCAGAGGGCCGAGTCGAGGGCATCGTCTGGCACTGCAACGACGGCACGCTCGTTAAGGTGATAAGGCTCGATATGCAGAGCTTGTGCATTAAATTCAAATTATCGCTGTGTAGCCATGAAATGGCAGACATGGACATATATAGCTGTAGACTCTAAGTGAGTATTTTTTTGATCTTTGTAAAAACTATTTTTTTTGGAAGTCAAACACTTACATATGCTCTTTTTAAGATGTAATACTGTGACTGTTTATTGTCTCTGCAGGTTCATCGTCATCACCTGGGACTGAGGTGGCCCGACGGGGAGACCTGCCTCATTGAAAAGTCGGTGCTCGTTCATGTCGACGGGACGGTTGATGAATACAACAACAGCAAGGACTTGTTTTCATCCTTCGCTGCATTAAATGGACAATGTTTCAGCCGACTGCAGGACGTACAGTTAGACTTGTAAACAGTCAGTGAGGATCAAACGTCTGTTGCTGTGACTCTGTAAAGGTTTGTAAGTCTGTTGACAGCTGGCAGATCTGTTCACCCATACTTAATGAAGGGCGTATACGACCGCATGGTGACAGTTTAATGTTTACTTAAAGAGGAATGTGTACAGCGTCAGTTTGAAAATGACTGAAGTTAAGGCCCTGACACACCAAGGAGATCATGAGCTGTCAGTGAGCGGCCGTCGCCCTAGTTTGTGCGCTGTGTCTGTCTCCGTTGCTACCCATCGGCCTTTTTTTGGCTGATCCGACATGTTGAATCGGCGGCCAGTGAGAGGAATCTTTCTGATTGGCTGTTCAGAGGTTTCATTTGTCTCCAGCTCTCACATTCGGGAAAGCCCCTTGAGCATGCCACTGTAGTCTCCATGCTTTCACCCATTAGTGCGGTTTCTCTTTTTGTCGCCTCCACCTCTTCTTTTCCACTAAAAGACCAAGTGACAGCAGTGTGAATATGGTCATAACGAGCTACCGCCGCCTGCTGGCATAGAGAGTTATTTCCTCTCACATGCACAGAACATACGTTGTGGTTGGCCGTCGTCTGAAGTCTTTGCGGTGTGTTCAAGTGCAACTTTTTGGCCAAGACTTGTAGTTCTTTACCATCTGCTTGGTGTGTCAGGTCCTTTACTCTACATGTTCCATTAATTTACTGTAAATACTGAAAAGAGCTCTTTATTGCCAAGTGAAGAATAAACAGCAAGTCTGTAAATATTTATATCTAAAAGATTTTCCATTAAATATGGAAACAGCTTTATTGACAAATACACAAGCACTATTCTACAACTGTACACATATAGAGACATAAGCTACATTACGTGTGATGACATCACACGTGAACAAAAGAAGAGCTGCCTGATAGGAGAGACATCACCTCTTAAATGTAAACTTTAGTTTGAAAATATGACGTACTTTTATTCTATTTACCAGACATTTCCTTTCAGTTTTGGACCAAGAAATAAAATAAACTGTAGTTACTCATAAGTAGATTGACTATACAGTTTTACAGTAGTACTTCAGTTACATTTTCCTGTTATACTGAAGTATGAATTAATGCAGCAAATTAAATAACTGAACTCCTAAATACCGACCTAATGCAAGCAGCCTTAAAACTGAAATTCTAACAATTTAGCTTTACATCAGAAGCTGTCCAAAGATAAAGACCAGTTGATGCACCAGTCCAAAAATTAAGTTCTGTTATACGTGAATCTATATGTACTACGATGAAAAACTAACGTTATCAGTTTACAGTTAAGTTTGTCTTCATTCTGGAGCCGTGGAAGCTCACGTTATAAAAATAAACATGCGTCTTTGTGCTTTCTTTACATTTCTAAGATAAATAATTGTCTTCTCATCAGCATGAGCCTCAACAAAGTATTTGGCTATCAGCCCTTTAATTCAATAACATGTAAGTGAGTGTTTCTTCAGTCCTGATTGATTTAAAGGCACAGTAGCAGCGACCCTGATTTAACTGATGGAGACACTGGGAAGGTCCGCCTTCACACCAAACTGCTGACACACCTTCTTCAGCTCCTCCTCCAGCAGAATGTTCTTCTTCACCTCTAAATTGTAGTTATACTTCAAGTCCTCAATCTCTTCAAAGAATGTCGGGTCAAAGCTCTGCAGCTCTCTCTTCAGCTTCGTCACCTCGCTTTGAAGAGCTGTTTTCTCCTTCTCTGCGGCTTGCAGGAGGTTTCTGAGCTTCCCGGGGTCTGAGGGAAAACAAGACAGAGAACCGATATCACACATATTATCACATGCATAAAGATGTTCAGCTGCCAATATCAAATTATGATAATGCTGCACATTCTGCAGCATTACAAAAGAAAGTATAACTCTCATGCAGCTTTATTTTCAAGACACCAGAGTGCGTTTAAAAAAAAAAAAAAAAAAAATCTTACCTAGTTTGGACGTCGTCTCACCGTATCGCGCGCTGTACTCTTCCAGCCTTTGTTTCAGCTCTGTGTTCTCGTGCTGCAGCTCGGCGGTAACCAGTCTGAAGAAAACGTCAACAACATGTCAGTTAAACGAGTATCCACTTTATACAGTCAAAGAGAACACGATCACAATGGGAAATGATTGCTTTCAACCACTGGAGAACTGCTCAACTTTTAAAGTTCAAACACTTGTATTGATACTGTATAAATGGTAAACGGACTTGGACTTCTGACTACTCAAAGCGCTTTCAACACAAAAGGACAAGGAGCTGGGGGGGATCGAACCCCCGACCTTCCAGTTGAGAGATGACAGACTCTACCAACTGAGCCACAGCCGCCCCTATGAATCAAAGTGTTTGCTTAATAAGCAGTTTAAAAAAAGTCATTGTTAATTATTGCAGCAGGTTCAGAAGTTAAACTTCAAGACACATTTATATTTACTCTAGCTTGGTGGTGAATAAATATCATTGTCAGTCAGAAGAACTGAATTGTGAAGACAAAAATGAACATCTACACTTTAAAAAAAAAAAAACACTTGTGTAACAACTGAACTGATAAAAAAAAAAACAGTGTCTCGTGTGTAGGTTCTCAGTCATGGAGGTCATGGTGAGTTCAAAGCTTGATCAAAAGGCAACGAGACTTAGTTTGAAGATCTTGAAGACGTTTCACCTCTGCTCCTCTAAACTAACAACATCATTAATATTGTACTCTATTGTTTTTTGCCATATCTTTTTAAATAATAATATATGGGTAAAGCCCTCATATTACTACTTGTTATTATGAGTTTATTACTTATAATATTCAAACAGACCTCATTGCCTTGAACTCCTTAGAGAGTCCTCCCTCTGACTTTGCAGCAGTGGGAAACCTCTTCAGCATGTCAACCTAAAAACAAGAAACAAAACATGATAATTTGATTACATGGTCATATAAGCATTCTGCACAGTTAGGGGGCAGATCTGTGTCTCCACTGATTTAACAAGACATAAAACTTAGAAGAGCAGTAAAACAGACTGACAGCTCACTGTATGGAAACGGTTACTCAACACCTCCTTTGAACTTCTGTTAGAGGAGCTTTCTTTTGCCTCACCAATCATCACGGTTATCTTATAGCTCGGGAAGAATCCCCTGGGGGAATGGGGATCTACTGTTTTCATCAGTCCCTAAATCACCTTGAGTTAAAAATATAATCATCTAAAAGATATTGTTGTATAACTTGTATCTACAGAAAGATTAGGTCCCCTTCTTTATGAGGTGGCATGTTGCAAATGCTGCATGTCTTTGCTGGCTCACATAAGCCCTTAGATAACTCTTGCTCTAAAGTAGCGCCCGACCACTTTGAGATTTTTGGGGCCGATATCTAGTGGCAGGGTGGTAGTAGCTCAGTCTATAGGGACTTGGGTTTGGAACCCAAGGTTGTGTGTGTGTGATGTGTCAAAAATAACAGAGTGTAAACCCAAATTTCTGCTCAGGGATTAATAAGAAAAAAAAAAATCCAATATATCAGCCGACATCTTTCCTAGATCTATTTTCAATCTGTAGCGACAGAGATAAATATTCACATGTATTGCGTTGATCGCTCAAATGTGGATCAAACACTTGTGGAAAAGATATACAGAAAAATAAGACGAGATGGCCACTCAGCTGGAAAGTAGTTGAGCATGTACAGAATAACCGCTTGGCACTCTGGAGAGTGATGATGCTTGTTGTAATCCACATAGCGCCTTCGGTTGAATGGGATTCAACGGATTAATTCTTTTAGGAGCTAAACTCGCACAGTCCAAATTTAATTACGTCATGTGTACCTGACTGTATTTACGTAAAGTATTCATTCAGCCAGTACCTGATCTTCAAGTTGCCGGGTGTTTATCTGAGCTCTGTCTTCCCGCTCTGTCAAGTCCTTAAGCTGATTTTTGAGTTCAGTCAGACTGGAGGTTTTCTGGGAGAGCTCCTTCTCCAGCTCCTTCATCTTGTTCTCAAACATTCTGCAGATACAAGAGACACACATCAGCTCATGCTGTGAATGTGAGGTCAAGGCTTGAAATGTGAAGCCTGAGAGGAAAAAATGTTGAGGAGACTGTGTGTCTAAATAGTGTGTCTGTCTAGTTAGTTGGTGATTTAACAGATTCCACATCCAGTTCATTAAAGCTATTAAAATTTTTGTACACACTAAAAAAAAAAAAAAAAAAAAAAACTCTCATGGACTCTGACCTTGTTACCACAGAAGCCTTCCAGGTCTTACTGTCAGCTCCCTCTAAGATGGGTCTGGATAAAGCTGCAAGCAGTCTCTGCTTGGTTTCCTCCAGCTCTGTCTCCAGCTTCTCATTGGTCACTTCCACACTTGTCTTTGTCACTCTCAGCCTCTCTGCAGCTTCCATTTCCTGTTACAGAATGAAACATGCACATCACGGCTGGGGAACTTGAACGTGCTTTAAATGTTTTATTTCTGTGTGGAACTAGCTACCTAAACATATTTGTATTAGGATGTGCAGTTACCCTTTTGATCTCCTTGCGCAGACGTTCATTTTCCATGACTATTCTCTCCAGTCCTTTGGTTTTAGATTCCAGTTTTGAATTCAACTCGGCCTCACTTTGACTCTTCAGTTTTTCAAAGTCAGTCTAGAAACACAAAGCATTCGGATGTCAGCTTCAGCAGAACACCTCAAAAAGAATGCATAAGACACGTACAACACAATCACCGACCTTTAGTCTTCGGTTTTCTTGCTCCAAAGCAGCGATCTTTTCTTGATTTGCAGGGGTGCTGGATTTCTTCAGCGTCTCGTTCTCCCTCTGCACCCTCTCCACCACCTTCTTCATCAGCCCGATGGTCTTCTCAAGTTCAGGGACTGTTTTACCACTTTGACCAGCCTGATGAGAAACAAGTTAAAAAGCACTTTTTACTATGGGAAGTGAGAAGAGAAGAGTGGTGAATTAAACTACTACTAACCTCGGGGACAGTTTTTTCTGCCACTGTTCCTTTTTCGAAAGTGCTCATAACAGATTAAGCCGGGTCTTTGTAACAAAGCAATAAGTAAGGTCTTTTACCTGCTTTTTGTAAATTGTCTTGAGTTAACACCTGTAGTGAATTGGTGCTATACAAATAAAAATTGTTTGATTGATTGCTTAAAAGGACAGAGAAAGGCAAGAGACAAAGTACATGTAGAAAGCTAATGAGGTAAAAAGGAAGAGGGTAAGAGGCAGCCATGATCCTTGAACGAACCTCTAAGCAGCTTCAATTGCAGGAAAAAAAATATATAAACAGGTCACACTAAGTATTCAGCACTAATAATAAAAGCCAGGAGGGCACATTTAACCACAATCAAATACATACTGTACAAAACCACAATACTATTAGAGGGAGAGAGAGGCGACTTTAGGTTAAACCTACTCCGCGTATGTGCGCCAGCTTTTTCTCAACATCGGCTTTTTCCTTCTTCAGCGCACTGCACATCTCCTTCAGATCCGACACTTGATTCTGTGACAAAGACAGCGAGAAAATAAATTAGATTAAAAAAAAACATGAACCAAAAACATCTGTTCCATAACTGAAGATTGTTTAGTTATAATCAAGATACAAAAACAAACAAAGAAGACTTCATGACACACAAACTGAAGTCACTTTTCATTAAAGCTGAATACGATCATTTCTTTGTGGATGGTGTAGTAAGTACTTTGCTTCTTAGAGGATGAGAATGTCAAAACGTAGAAAATCCAGTTCTGAAAAACATGCTCGTTCTGCAACTGTTTTCTTGCCAACACTTTAATGAAGGTTTTATGACCAGCCTCTTGTCTAAATATGAAGCTCCAGGCAGCAGCAGATTAGCTAAACTTAAAAATAAAAAAGAGAGCCTGGCTCGGTCTAAAGTAATACAATCTGACTAAAAACCTGTTTAAATCTTCACTTATAAACACACAGTGTGCACTAAGCTGAAGAGTCAAAACAACATGGAGTCACTCAGGGTTGGCTAAAAACATTCATTCATTCTGCATTATCTACTGGCTGCAGCTTCATATTTAATATGAGAATGGTGAATATCTTCTCCTCTCACTTGGCAAGAGGGCCAGTAAGAATACTCTTTACCTAGGTATTACTTTACAAGAAAACTACTTTTTAATTGACTTTAGGCCTACTTTGAGTCTTGGTAAGTCCATGTTGGTTTGCTCAATTTGGAAACGTAGCTCCAGGTTCTCGGAGGCCAGCTTGAGGTTTTCTTTTTGGAGGTCTTGATCTCTCTGTGATGGAGTGCCTGTGCCTCGTCCTGAAGTCTGTCGGAAAACGAGAGGCACAAAATTAGCCACAGTAAAGTAGAAAAACACAGCCATGAAGGGAGTTATTACTAACCCTATTACTTACTTCTAGAAACCAAAGCTCTAGTCAAATTCTGTCTCACACAAGCTGGGGACCATAACAGACTCTGCCTATTAGGGAAACAGCAACCAACAGAACACTACGGTCTTTCCTTAAAGATGTATTTTTGGGCTTTTTGTGCCTTAATTGTAGAGTTAAGAAAGTGTGTAGGGTCAGAAATCAGGGAGAAAGAGATAGCAGGGAATGACTTGCGAGAAATGAGCCACATCCGATTGGAAGCCGGGCCGTCTGTTGGAGGACTATAGCCTGTGTACATGGCAGCGCGCACCAACCACTACGCTACCGGCGCCCCTAAACGACACGCTTTAAAACACTAAAATCTTGGTTATTTTAATGATTGAAAAGTGGGGAAACTGAGTAAACTCAGTGGGCTGTTGCACTGGTTGCAAGTTTGACTCTCAATACTGTTGCTGTGTGCTGCATGTCACCCCCCTACTCTCTCCCCCACACATTTCCTGTCTATCGTCAGCTGTATTGTCCTAATAAATGCAAAATCCATACAGTAATACAATAATAAATTAATAACAATAAGTGCAGAAGCTTCAGATCTTTAATCATATTTTTAACCCAAGCAGGTGCAAAAGAAAGAGTAAGAGGGCAACATATTTGTACAATTCCGAGTTTGCAGAAGATTTTTGGACTTTAAAAAACAAGAAATTACCCAATCATAGGTACCTGTGATTTCGATTTTTATTTGGCATCGACCTAGGTATCGAAATTGTTTGAATTTTATTCGACTCGTATCAAAGTTTAAAATCTGAGACTATGACAAGCCTACATGTTTCATGCCTGGAGTTTTGCTCATTGCCACATCTACTGGAAAGCAATCACAGCACTACTACTTCAGCAAAGGGACTACAGAGGCCTGCAGTACCTTCAGATATCTGTAAGATCTGCTTTCATGTCTTCGTACACCATGATCCCTTTCTTTGGACAAGTCCGGCTCTTTGCTTGGTATGGAGCTGGAATCTGCTGAGCAAGACTTTTGTGGATTATCTTCATCTGATGCTTCCCTGAAAGTCTCATCGTGCTGCTGAGTGTCATCTGGCATTTCCTCCCCGATTCCCACATCATCAGCTCCATCGCGTCGTTCACCAGCACCCTCTTTAATCACTGCATCACTCATATTATCACCTCTTGCTGCAGAAGCAGCAGCAGGCTCAAAGGAGGACACAACACATCCTGGTCTTTCTGATGGATCACCAGGGTCTGGGTAATTTCCTTCTTCGTCCTGTGGTTCTTCCTTTCCTTCAGTCATATATACTTCAGAATCACCTGGCATATCTGGTGTACTTTCCATAACATCTGTCTCTGTCACATTGTCTTGCATATGATCTGTGTCAACGTCTTCTTTGCTCACGTCTGTTTCGTCTGCTGCCACACTTTCTTCCACACCTGGACTTAATCGCTCAGGGAGAGCATCCTCTGCACCATCAATGCTGGATTGAGTTTCTCCAGCAGTCTGGCCTTGCTCTGGCTCACCCTGTTGGGCAGCGGGGCCTTCAGTAGCTTTACAGAGATGGCAGAATTCAACAGGGCTTTGTGCTGCATTCCCTTCACATGACCCATCCACGACATCAAAAGTAGGAGAAGAAATCTCTCTCAAAGCATGGGGGGAAGAACTTTCCCCCTTAACAGGTAATTAATCAAATAAAATCCAGTGCCAGGGAAGGATGAGACCCGCAGAAGAGACAGAGAGAGAAGAATGATGAATGAAGAGAGGGAAAGGGAAACATTTGGATCAAACTGAAAGGTGAGGATGTTTTGTACATTTAGGACACGTACGACAAAAAGAGCGATGAACACTCTGGACTGCCAAGTGTACGATGTGCAAGAAATGATAGGTCTTTTAATCTTTGCAATGAAATGTCTACTGTTTTCATTATTGAATAACAGATAATTTATTCAATACATCGCACATCCATTTCACCAGTATGATGTGTAGGAGAGGAACAAATCCAGAAAATAATGCAAACCGAAGCAGTCTGACCTGCCAAAAAATACATTTATGGCTGGCAGCGTTTGGGTGCTAGGACACATCAGGGACACAGGATGTTAGAGGGACAGGCATTAAAAAAAGGAGGGCTGCTTGCAACTATTACCTGGTTATTTATTGGTTCATTTAATAAGATTTGATATGATGGTGTCGAGTCGTCACATGCTTGCACACATGCACAAAACCCCTGGTGAGCTGCACGTGTGCATGCAAGCAGACTACTTTTTCCTGTAACATTTCCATGTGAAGTCGGGGTGTGTTGATGTGGGGACACAGGAGGAAATATTCTTCAAAATTCACCATGGGAGAGCAGACCGGGGTGATGATGTTTAAATATCACGTAACATTTGTTCCAACAGCGTAACAAACTGATTGCCTGATGAATGCCTCGTTCCAACAAAACACTGCCAGTAAAGTTAGTGTGAGGGAGATTGATTACCCAAGAATTGCCATAAAAGTGTTTTTTTCAGAGCTGTTTTTTTTTTATCCTCCAGGAACACATGATGTCAAAGGGAAGTGGCGGGCCACCCCCCTGATATAATGGTAGGGGACACACTGATGTGTGTGAGAGTGAGTTGTGTCCTATGATCTGATCCCATGATTTATGACACAAAATGTTCCTTGAGACATCAAAAAGTCATTTGACCTCCCCCAAATCTTAGCAGTTCATCCTTGTGTCCCAGATGACATTTGTGCGAAATTTGAAGAATGTCTCTCCATGCTTTTCCTGGAAAATCTCATTCAAAAGGATGAAATGTACAGACATCTGTTCATCTGCTCTGCCGAGTGTCCCACTCTTAAGTGCTCCCACTTAAGAGTATCTGGATCATTCAGGCAAAAGGGTTACAGTGATGGTATTGTGCATGCTGATAACAACTTACAGAGGGTCTTGATGGAGGCTCTTTGGATATCTGGCTCTCTAAAGAGTGCAGTCTCTCCTCCAGGTAGCGGTTCTTCAGGGTGAGGCTCTCCATGGCGTCATCTCGAGGTAAAGCTTGTTGCTGTCTGTAAGTTCAGAGTTTCACATTACTCAACCTCATATCTGATAGATTTATCTTTTCTGTTTTATAAAAAAATTCAGAGTCAAAATAACAGACTTTAAAAACCAAGTAGTAGGAGGTTTATACTTTTGTCAGTCTGAGAGAAAAATATGCAATGTGCGATATTATCATGCAGTTTTTACTTAACAATATGAATAGTTATAAATTCAGAAAAACTAGAGTGCATATATCAGCTATAACTAAGTTTCTGTGTCAATCTGCTGTCCTTCATGTTTTATACAGTACCTGCTTTTGCAACATTTCCCTCCTGAATACAAAATCAATCCCCCAAATGTGCTTTTCCTTCACTAAATTGGCACTAATAAAACAGAGAGGAAGTTTATAGTTAGCCTTAGCTTCATCTGACTGCATCAAAATGGTTTGAAAGCATGGACGCTGGTGGCGCAGTGCGCCCCATGTATGGAGGCTGTAGTCTCCAAGCGGGCGGCCCATGGTTCAAATCCAACCTGTGGCTCCTTTCCCACTCTCTATCTATCTCTCAAAATGAAGGCACAAAAAGCCAAAAAATAAATATTTAAAATATTGTGTTTTTATCGGATGACTTACAGAAATGATTTTATTCCCACTTCAATTCGCATTTTAAACAAGGCCAGATAAACAATTATTTTTAACATGCTGTGCATTATGTGCTTTTGTGATTTTATGACTTTGTGTCTTGTATGTGTGAATGTTTTTATGTTGCTGTGCCTCGACCAAAAAGTAATTTTCTATCACTGTGAGAGACAACGTTTTTTGAATCTTGAATCTTAAATGTTTGCTTGAATGTGTGTGTTTGTGTCTGTGTGTGGGGGTCTCCTATGAGTATGTACTGTCTGTTTGATGAATTCTCTTCAAACTTTTCTTTATCTTTCTAGCACTGAGATCATTATTTATGACATTATGTTATCATTTCAAGTATTTTTTTTCCCATCAAGACAGTTAAGATATGTTCTTGTAATAAATAAATACTAGCCACTTTTACTTTTTTTTTTTTTACTTCCCTCACCGATATCGTCACTGTCCTCATTAAACATTAACCATACTTCGTTCCCGCCATCAGATAAATGTTAACACCAGGCTAGACACTAAGGCCAAAATTAATCATGTGTATCATAACTGAGATGCAATGTGAGAGATAATAAAAGAGAATTCCATGAAACTGAAGATAGTGGAGATACAAATGGTATGGTCATTATTTTGTATGCTGATTTAGATTAGAATCAATGTGATTCCAGTTCCCGAGATATTTCTGTCGGGCGTTCCGTTTTACCACAGGGTTATATTTCGCCAAAAAAAAAAAAAAAAAACTCAGCCCACCCTGTATCCCTTCACCCTTCACCCTGCATTGATTAGCTCAATTAGTAGGTTACGTGCCATAGTGTTGTGTGTGTGTGTGTGTGTGTGTGTGTGTGTGTGTTCTTTTTGTTTCCTCCCTCTCTCTCTCTCTCTCCTGTGCTCGTTCCAGGTTCTGCTCCTTGCCTCACTTGCTCCTCAGCCACTGATCGAGCACACCTATGCCCACTGTACAATCAGTGACAGAGTATAAAGAGCAGGAGGCAGCAGGCACATTCAGTGGACCATGCCTCTGTGTGCTACTCTGCAGAAGTGTTACTCCTTCTGTGGAAGCAGGGTGTATTCCTGAAGGCGTTGGTGTTCAGTGTGTATCAGAGGGTTTTTTGGTTTAAAGCATTTCGTTTAAGATTGTTATGCTTCTCGTTTTTTTTTTTTTTTTTTTTAACCAGGCCATCCACAACCTCGCTCCGCTTTACCTCTTTGAACTCCTGCACATTAACACACCTACCCGCACTCTCAGGTCTTCTTCCATTCAACTCACTGCACCACCCGCCCGCCTGTCCACCATGGGGTCCAGGGCCTTCAGCCGCTCTGCCCCCCACCTCTGGAACTCCCTCCCAACCACAAATCCGTAATATCGACTCTCTCTCCATTTTCAAGTCCTTCTCAAAACACATCTTTTTAAACTAGCTTATTCAGTCTGATCATTCTCCATCCGGTCTCATAAATCCTTTACATCCTGTACATTTGTGTTTTTAAATGTTAATTTTATCGTTGTGTTGTTACTTTGCTGTTTTTATCTCTGCTTTGTAAGGTGACCTTGAGAGTTTTGAAAGGCGCCTTTAAATAAAATGTATTTTTATTATCTAAATTGATGAAAATACACAAGTACACTGAGTCATCATCAATTTTTTTTTTTTTACACTGAGCCTATACAAGACTCTAATCTGAGGGCAACTAGCGAATGTTTGTAAAGACGGTTAGTTACTTGATGGTGAAGATCTCTGTCTCCAGCTCTAAATTCTTCTTCTTCAGCTCCTCCGCCTCCTTCTCCATTTCAGCAGACCGCACCCCCACCACCTGATCCACAGTCACACCTCGAGCCTTCAGCTTTTTCTGCAGCGCACTCTTCTCTTGCTCCAGTCTGCACACACACACACACACGCACACACCCACCATAAAACACAGAGAAGAAATAGAAGAGATGATAATAATAATAATAATAATAATAATAATAATAATAAGGTAATTTGTCTGGAGCTTTGTATAGTTGGAAAAAAACTCCTGATGTAACAAAACAGTTATGTACACATATTCTATGTTAAACACATTAATAACAATGCACTATCATCAGTAGCATAGTGTGGTATAGTATAGTTACTTTATGGTAATGAAGCGAGCTGTCAGGCACTTTCACCACTAACGTTGAAGGTGTTTATTTTCATGAATTTTGCTTGGATGACATTTTCAGTGAATTGAACTCTTCAACCTCCCTCCTCGACAACTAAACCAAGGCTTTACAGGATCAGCTGCATGTTGTCACTGCAAACCAACTCTTCACCTTTGCTTACAGTCAATGGCGAGTCTTTGTGCATCATACCTTGTGTTAACGACTCAGCTCCTCAAAAAGTGAAGTGCCTGATTTTGCTAATTTTTTCTTCTGTTTCAAGTTTAGCAAACGTCCGCCACTCGTTCTATCGTCTTCCCTTTACATGAGATTTATTGCTTATTGCATTCTATCATGAATACCAGGTTGAAAACGTCAGAACGCCTGTATCTAATGTACTGTCTGACCTGGCATAGAGGTCTTTCAGAGTGCTGAGCTGCTTCGTCAGGGCTTCACTCTCTCGTTCCTTCTCCTTCACTGAATTCTTCATCTTCTCCATCTTCGCTTGCCATTTCTTCCCCTCCTCCCAACGCACGATTTCCTCTTTGGTCTGTCAGTGGAAAAAAAAAAAAGTCAACCTTAATAATGCTGCTAACAATAATGCTAATATAGCAGAATATCTGTCGTACAAATGTGTCATGTTCACACCTTTCCATAATCATCCTTCACATTTTTTTTCTCTGCTCTCTTCTCCAAGTCAGACTCCAGCCTCCGGATCTTCTTCTGCAGATTCTCGATGGTCAGCCCCTTCCCGTCGGCTTCTGGTTGATTCTGATCAACACAGATAAAAAAGAATATCATTGCACCTTACTTTTTTTAAGACAGCCCATTCCCTGCTAAAGTCAAATAGGGATATGGTAAATGGACTTGAGCTTATATAGCGCTTTTCCGGTCTTCCGACTACTCAAAGTGCTTTTACACCGCATGTCACATCCACCCATTCATACCCATTCACTCACTGATGGTAGTGATCGCTATGTAGTATCATCCATCAGAAGTAACTAATCCCATTCATACACCACCACTGAAGCAGCGGGAGCAATTTGGGGTTAAGTGTTTGCCCAAGGACACATTGGACATATTGCCCAGCTGGGGCTCAAACCCTCAGCCTTCCAGTTCAGAGGCGACGACTCTACCAACTGAGCCAAAGCTGCCCAAAATATAAGGCACTAATAACGCAACGGTCATGACAACAACATCGTGAGGCATCGTTTTACAGATGAGAGACAGGGAGGCAGCCAAAGGCCTCAAACAAATCTGGATTTAAATTTAAATATACATGCTTTCACTGGCCCACAAGAATACCTGCATCAATAAATCAACACATATATTCAGGAGGAGTACATCTTTAGTCCGAGAAGAATGTCAGATTTGTGTCTTGCAGAATTCCTCAAGTGTTTTTAATTAATTTGTTGTGTTTTAAATTCACCATGGGGGGAGCAGACTGGGGTGATGATGTTTAAATATCACGGATCCAGTGAGCTTCAGGTGTGATTGTCGAGCCCTTAATAAAGCTGCTTCATACTCTTTTCTGCTCCCCGGGGTGTTCTCATCCACTCTTTGTTGATGTGTCTAATAACATGTAGGGTTGATATAAGAGCTGTACCTAACGTCTAGTACCAACAAAACACTGACAGCCATGAGTTAAATTTAGTGTGAGGGAGTTTGATTACCTAAGAAGTGGCATGAAAGTGTTTTTTTCCCTCCAGGAACACATGATGTCAAAGGGAAGTGGACCCACCACTTTTTGCGCCAAAATGCCATCACTTTCCCATCTGTGAAGATTTCACGAGTGAAGTTTTGTCCTATGATCTGATCCCATGAATCCATGAGTTATGACACAAAAACACTTTGTGGTTAACGATCACTGCGTTGTTCTTTCATCAATTTTAGGGTCTGCATGTCTTGTCTGAGTCGGGAGATTTGGCTGTTTTCAAGGTTGACGTTATGCTGATTGTGTTGGAGTGTGAGGGCCGTTAACTTTGTAACTCCAGCGACTCTTGAATCAAGGCCAAACCAAGCTGTAATGCATGCTTCTGCCCCAATCAATTACTTGTGCTGCTACAGCAGCGTTTCCCCTACCATTATATACCCTCCAACGAGCCATGTCGTGGGGTAGGTGGTGTCAGCATTGACACCACCTGGAAGCTTGGGTCTGTTGAAGGTGCCCTCGATGTTTTGGTTGCAAGGGCCAAGGGCAACTTAGGGCCATAAGGTAGGTGGTGATGACACCTATCAGTAGGGCATCAGGGCAGAATTGGGACGGGGGTTTTCTTCACTGAGCGCATATCCTTTCATACCTGTGTGTCATTTGCACATTTTGTGAACCACTCATCTGATTAACTTTACACTCCGTACCCTTTGTGAGTGTAGTATCAAGCGGGAGATTAATTGGATCTTACCTGTAGGGCGTTGCTGAGTCTCTTGATTTGTCGCTTCAGCTCTTGGATTTCGTGCTCGTTCTCCTCTTTTTCGGCCTGCACACGTTTCAGGGTTTTCTGAGTCCTCTGGAGGTCGTGGTTCAGGCTGTCCACTTGTTCTTTCAGGGTGTTCTCTCGGCCTCTGGCTGTTCTGACCGACTCCTTTGCAGCTTGCAGTTCTTCATCAAGTTCTTGCACCTTCACCTTTGGACAGATTCAGATTTCCAGATTAAAAGATACATCTAGTGATACTCCTTAGGATTAATTTGACCCTCCTGTTGCCATTAATTGCCACAATTGCACTAAATGTGTAATACACTGCGGATATGAATAGTCTAATACAAGTTCTCTATGTACTCCTATTTCAGTAACCTTTAATGTTAGTGTCTGCCTTGAATTTATATTTGTTGTTATTCTTTATTTAGGATTGATTTTGGGGATTATATGCCTTTATCTGGACAGAGTTGGAAACCGGGGAGACACAGTGGGGAATCACATGCAGGCCACAGGTCAGACTTGAACCTGGGCCGCCCGCTTTGAGGACTATAGCCTCCATACATGGGGGCCCCTGTTGCTTTTATTTGTGAAATATTTTACTAATCATCTTAAAGGCAACAAATAGTCTTCCTCTATGTCAGTTAATAAGCTCAAATGCTACTGATAAAAGATGGAAATGAAATAAAACATGCATTTAAAAATGAGCACCTTATTATGAAAAAGGGATCTCACCTTTAGGTCTTTGGTGTGTCTGTCAACCAACATCTGAACGTTGAGACTCTCCTCTCTTTGTGCAGCGCTGGCGATGACCTGCTGCTCAGCGGATGACGTCATCTCCTTCCGCAGTGCCAGCAGAACCTTACTGAGAGCCTGAGAACACAAAAAGATGTCAGCTGATGATGAATGCAGTGAAGGCCAAACAACATTTTACAGTTAATGGACCTTTATCTATTTCTGCAAGAGCTACTTCCCCCGACACACACACATAGACACACACACACACACACACACACACACAAGTGCTTATGGTTAACAAACGGCCACTGATGGAAAACTACCAGACCAGAGTCAACTTAATTGATTAAAGACCAACCTTTAGCTGTTTTTCTTTCTGGGCGAGCTGTGCTTTCAGTCGTTCAACCAGGTTCTTCATGGTGTTGCTGGGGGAGCGCACGTTGGCCTCCTTCTGGCCCGCCAGCTCGGTCTGGAGGGAGATCATCTCCTTCTCCATCTGGGCTACCTGACTCTGCAGATCCTCGTGTTCCCTTGTCAGAGCTTTCACCTGGGCAGCATGATGCTCCTCCAGCCTGCAACAAATACCCTCTGACTGTTAGCCTGGCTTGAAACCTGATTTTCTTAAACAGTGTAAATAAACAATTTAAAAAGGAATACATATAATCCGAGACTGAGTGGGAAACTTTTCTGGTTTTCGGGTCATTTTAGCAACATGGGAGACATTTTTCGACTAAGCCGGGAGATGTGTTGTATTTTTCTCTGGTTTGGAAGTCTTTCGGACAAACACGGTAAAGTCTATAAAACAAGGCATTTGAGGCTAGTTATTTGTTTGCTTTGACACATGTAGGGAAATATTTTTACATTTCTGTTTGCATTTGTTACTGTTCAATACATCTTGCATCCTCTTTAGCTTTTGTTGAGGATTGATATGTGTTGATTCAGTGTTTCCTTTGAGAGGCTGTCCTTTATCCCAGAAAAGTGTTGTGCTTTCGATCTTAACGTTTTTTACCACACACAGGTGGATAGATTCACTCCCATATGGCTGAAATGCCACATGTCCTAATGAACTATTGAACTCTTAAAAGCCTTTTACAATCTGCTTTACTGGGGCTTCCTTTTTTTAATTAAACTACTAACCCCATTACATCCAGTCTCCTTTAATTACCCCCTTAAGTGGCTTTAAGGATGCTTACACTCATTTAACTCCACACTGTCAGACAGTATCAGCTTGTTTTTCCTCGACACTGATGCAAGAATATAAAACCAGATCCTCCTTATTCCACGTAAGAGTAAAGAATATGGGACTTTTTCAGGGTTCGTTTAGGGATCTGAAGCATTCCCTGACTTGTACCTGCTGACCAGTACATTATATGGAGCTTTTCCCACATCAGTTGTAATCCCCGCTGTGATCTCCATTAACCAATTGCCTACAGTTGGTTTAGTTCTGTGTAATTTACACTTCACATGTAATCTGGGATTAAGGCTGGGGTACAAAACTTTGGATAAACCTATAGGAAGGAGTGAGGTACATTTTGAAAGTATCCATCTGTATATATTCATGAACAAGCTGTCTGACTTATGCAGGATGAATCCAGAAGAGATTTCATTAGGGTCAATGGACTGAAGTACAACAGGCCTTTAAAAGCCTATAATACAGCATTTTACTGTAGGTCGCAGCTCAATGTGTGCAGCACACAAGGGCACAATAAAGTTAATCATATCTCATTGTATCGAATCATACCGTGTTGTATCGAAAAATATCCTATCATATTGTGAAGGGTTGAGTCGTATCATATTGTGTCGAGTCCTATTGTGTCGTTTACACAGATGTATAATTTAAATATTTGATGTTTGATGCTGAGAGTATTTGCATCAGTTCCTGGTTAAAGTACTCACTTTAAAAACTAAAATAAAGGAATATAAAAGGAAAAGCTGTTAATCGAGAAATGAGGTTTAATAAAAGGTGTAATCACTTTGACATCTCCTCCGTGTATTTCATAGCCTGCGTTTCCATGGCGACCCTTTGTCGCTCTCGGTCCGCAGTGGTCCGATGTAATTTCTCTGTGACGGAGGAGAGCGAGACGTCCTGGTCGGCCACGGCCTGCTCCAGCTCTGCCAGGCGCTCCAGGTGCTTGGTGGTCGGCACCTTGAGAGTGGGCTTCTTCATCAAACTCTGTTGTTGAAAACAAAAAACCCTTAAAGACACGCTTATACATCTGGAAGATTGTACGTTTTTCTGCCAGAGTGACTGCATAAATGTGAAAATAACATACAGTATGCTGATAGATATAACTGATACGATGTCTACAATTACCGTCATGGCCAAAAATTTAACCTCCATTACGAGCCATAGCCTCAAAAAGCCAAAACACAAATTAAATCATCAGACATGTAGATACATGCGTACCATTGCTGTCTGTTTAAAGGTGTCCAAGGAGCTGTCCATGTGGAAGTCCAACTTCTGATACAGCGATCTCAGCTCCTCTTGGTGTCTCTTTATCATCTCCTCTTGATCCTGGAGGACAACAAGGTTTATTTAAATGAAGCAAGGAACAAAAGTCACCGTCTCAAGGTTTCCATAAACTGGTCAAAATGCAGTTTACATCCATTAGTGTTCCCCACATAATGACAGCTTAACTGAGGCAAGTAAAGGAAATGATTTGACCTCAAATAATTCAAATTTAAATGACCATTAAATCTAAACAACAATAGAGGTCACACCAAAACCAATTACAGGATCAACATACTACACTAGAGAATTTCACTCTCTGTGTTTCGTATTTGATTTGCTCCTTATTCTTTGCCTCTTTAAGAAAGCATGTCAACATCTGTGAAAAATTAACAGAGGCATTCTTGGGGGGGGCGCCTAAAAAATGTTTCTCATGACATAATGATGTGTGACCGCAACCTTGATCGAAAACTTCTCATTACTTCATTCTTGAGTGAATTCCTCAGTTACGGCCAAAACAACTGCTAAGAGACAACGTTGTCATCGACTTTTCACAGCCCACTTCTAATCTGTTCATGATTGAGTAACTCCAGTTGTTTGTGAGACATCCCTTTTTTACGATAACGGGATGGATTATCCTAAAATCAGACAGCTTTATATCTCTGTCCAAGGCTGTAACAGGCACAGGGGAATTAAAATACCTTAGAAGTAGAAAGAGAGACTTCAATTCAATGAACTTTATTTGTCCCCGGGGGGCAATTCAAAACTTGTAAAAGTGTTATCATTGAAACTCAGGGCCTGTTAAAAAAAGACTTTTACTACTTGGTAAAACAATGAATTGCCTGAATGTGTGTGCTCATATCTATTCGATCTCATCTGTTTGAGATCCCATCCAATCATAGGCACTAATTAAAACATGCCTGGCTTATCTCTTCTAAAAAGCAACAATAAAACTGACTTCTTTCAGTCAGAGTTTTTTTCCCTGTATGACTGTACCTGTGTGGCCTGGGCTAACTGCTTCTGGTATTTCTTTACAACGTCCTCTTTTTTGTCAAGCCGACCATGGAGGTCTTTGATGGTCTGGTGAGCCAGTGTTAGGGTGGGTTGATAATCCGACTGGGCCTCTAAATGTTTGGAAACATCAGCCAGCAGTCGTTCCCTGTTGGCAGCTGCTGGGAGCCGAAGACGCAGCTCATTGATGACTTTATCTCGGGACACGATGTTCTGCTCGGCCTTCCACAGCGCGGCTTCTTTCTCTTTCAACTTCTGCATCAAAAAAAAAAAGGATTACAATGACAACACTATGCTTGGCATGTGATTTACGAGGGTATTGAATGTTTGAAGAGGAACTGAAACGTATACCTCATCCAGACTTTTACAGCTGGCCTGTGTCTCCATGATAGTGCGGATGTGCTCTCGGATTTTTCCCAAAGCAAACTCTAACTGATGAGCCACAGGAAGACTTGGGTCTGGTAGAGATCCTGTCCCACCCTCAAACTGAAAACCACAAACAATAAAAAAAATAAAGAAACATATTCCATTTTTTTTTTTTTTTTTTACACAAGTATGATTAGCTTGACATTGTTTGAGCATGAATTTGATCATCAATAGAATGTTTGCCTTTTCAGCACTGCTTAGCATCTTGTTCTGGTGCTTCTCGTACTGATCCACTTGGCGCTCCAGCTCCACCTCACGCTGATCCCACGCTAGCTGGCGTTCATCTTGGAGCTTGTCATGAAAAGAGGAGTTTTCTGAATTACTTTACTTTTTTTCTCAATTGCCTCAATGTTTCAAACCTTTATTTTTATTACCGTAGTCCTATTTCTGTGACATACTTCTTTATTTCTTAATGCTTAAATTATGTATAAAAGCAACTGTACACCCACATTATAGATGAAGTATTTCTGATTCTGATGAGACTGTATCAAGAGATTTACTTAAAACTGTGAGTTTTTCAAAGCTACTCTATTCTTTGATAGATGTAACACGATCATGCCAAAATAGTCATTTTTGTAATTATATCCTTTTGCCAAGTTTGTGTTTAATTATCTCCAGCCTATGCATAGCTTTGTAAATGTGTGTCTAATTAATTTGTAATAAATATAAAAGTAAATATAAAAATGTATAAAGTATAAAGTAAATATAACAAGTTTCATCGAATCTCTCATTTGTAATTACACTCCAATGACCTTATAAAAAAAGTAAGCTTATATCATTTAAGTCTGAATTCTTGGATTTAAGGCACACACACACTGAGAAACCTTGATGGGGAGCACAGCCTCAGCCTTCTCCAGCTCTGAGATCTCGGCTCTGTCAGCGTCACTCACAGCTTTGTCAAATTTGTGTCTGCATTATGAAAATGTTTCTCTCACCATGTTTTTCTGCACAGTATCCTCTTCCAGCGAGCAGATGGTTCTCTCCTGCTCCATCACCAGGTTCTTCAGGTACCTGATCTCTTCCTTCTGGACCACCAGCTCCCGGCCTTTCCTCAACTCCTGCAGCCGCGCCTCTTCCATCTTCTTGTGCCACCCGATAACCTGTTGTATGTCCATAGATTGAGTTTTTTTCTTTAGTGGTTGCAGATTTTGACGAGGGTCGGGCGAATACAAGAGATTAAACCGTGTATTTTTATTTGAATTTTAAGATTTGTAACTTTAAGTCAACAAGAACAACCTTCTGCGCCCCTTTCACATCCTTCAGTGTTGATATAAGCTCCTCCAGGCCACCAAGTCTCAGTTCCAATTCCTCCGCCTTTCCTTCAGCCCTCCTCCTCTCCTCTACCGCCTTCTTCCTTTCCTCCTGGGCATTTGCTTTGTCCTCCAGGAGGCTCACCATGGTCAAAGAGAACTTTTCCTGCTGAGGGAGAGGTATCGCTCCAGCGAACTGCCGACGAAGCGACTGGACGGTCTGCCGTAGGTGCTTGGAGCGATTCCTGCCTTCCTGACGGGCAAGGAAAAGGGCGGAGTCACTGGCATCCAGCCGATGTTCAGCACGAAGCTTGTAGACCTCCAGCTGTTGAATGCGAGTGCTGGCAGCCTCAAGTTTGGACAAAGCCGCCGACTCACTGAGCTGCAGAGCCATGATGTGCTGATGGAGCTGGGCAATGAGGGCCTTCTCATCTGACTGGGACTGAAGGAAAGACAAGACATTAGCTCATTACTATTTCAACAGACTCATTAATGTTCTTCACTGACTGCTGGAGTGGTTGTGTTTGGATTCATACTTTTACCACTCAAACAATATTAAAAGGTTGGTGACTAATGACGTGATTAAGGGCTAGTTTTTATCCTTCCAAAACTTTTGACTTTTTTTTTTTTTTTTTTTTTTTTTTTAAGAGTCAGGAATCATGATGTGTGATGATCGTCACTCCAAATGTGGGTAAAATCATGTGGACATTTTTTTACAGATTGGTTTGATTTATAGGAGTAATAATATTAAATATGAGAGACATCGTAAAAAAAATACTATTAAATAAAAAATGGTTCAAGAGTCAGCAGTAATGAAAAGAACAATGAAACAGGCAGTAATAAATGTAGAAAGACATTTATATAAAAATAAATATACAGAAATATGCAAGGTAAGTATTGCATATGTGCATTTAGTTTTGTATGAAAGTTAAAGTGTGAAAACCCAAGTCTTCTAGTGAAGAGAATAGGAAAGGTATTAATTAGCCCTCTTATGAAGTTTAATTAACCTTTAAACAACTCTTTACCTGGACGTCCATTATTTGTCTCCTCAAAGCTTCAACTTCCTTCTCTTTGGATTGCTGTCTGGCCTGCAGAGCAGAGGCCTGCATCATTGCCACATCAGACACCTCCTGAAGCCTGAACACACACGGAAATCTCCCGTTATTTACACCAAAATTTCAAAAGTATGATGACTTCTTAACAGATGAGACAAACAACATGGCATGGAGTGTCGAGTGTTTGTGATAAATATAAAAGAATGAAGGAGAATTTTGTTACAGAAATAAATTCTCAATTTCATTATTAGTATTAATGAGTTTGATTACATATTTCATATGTAATTAAAATCAAATCACCCCCAAAAAGTTAGCTTGTATCATTTACTTCAGAGTTCTTATATTTAGAGGCACACATACTTAGAAACCTCAATGCGGAGCTCAGCCTCAGCCTTGTCCAGCTCTGCGATCCTGGCTCTGTCAGCGTCGCTCACAGCTTTGCTGATGCTGTCTGCTAGCTCGTCCCTCAGCTCCCGCTCCACCCTCTGGGCCTCCACATTCATCTTTGTCAACTGAGGGAAAAACACAGGTACTAATGCTTCAAGATGTTCCTTTCATAGAAGACACCTGGTAAAAATGGTGAGAACGTAGCAAAAACTGGCTCAAGCTGTTTTGTAGGGTTTGTTGTTTACATTGAGAAATAAAACTAAAATGTATCGTTATGATTTGACATCTGTCAGGTGAACTGTTAGCCTTTTACACCTGGCACATTAATTAGAACAACAACAACAACCAGTGCCTTGAGCAAAAACAAGTCTCATTTGCGTCAAAGTAAAAACCGCTGTCTTTGGGTGTTCATACCTCTGCAAACTTGGACTCCAGCTCTAAGTTTCGATCCTCCACCTGCCTGAGGGAGTTCTTCATTTTTTCATACATTCTGTGAGCGTGCTCAGCTCTCTGCCTCTCGTTCAGTTCCTTCATCTCCAGAGTTGTGATCCGCCTAGCGGCTGATACCATCTCGTTGTTAGCCAATGCCTTGTCCGCCTTATCCATGCTGTTTTCTCCTCCTGATGTTCAGGAAAAAAAATCGAAAAGAAAAATATCGCTAAAAATCTGAATATTTATGTGAAGAGATATATTCACAACTGAGGATTAAACCTCGAGTACATCAAGGCTTATTGCATACATGAGGCAGTTTTTGCCAGCAATCCTTTAATAAGCTATCACCATGCATATCCTTCTTGCTATCTTTCGATTCTTCTTGCAATATTATCACCTTTCTTTAAAGTCTACATGCTTCTTGATGTATACTCATCATCCCAATTCTCCCAACTAGCCGCAATTAAAGGCAATATTATTATGTAAAGCCATATTGTTTATAAAACAGCATTCATAGATGGAGAGCAATTTAAAAAGCTTTACAGATTTAAAAACATCAATTAAAAAGAGACATGACATCAAGGAAGATTAAGACATTAAAATATACAAATTAAAGGAAGAACATGAGATTTGGCAAATATGTCAGTGAGCATATTTTTAACTCAAATTAGTCAACGAAAGTTAACGCCAATGTAGCAAGGACTGTCTGTAATAACCACCAGACACAAGTGTAGAAGAAAACTTCATGTAACCAGGTCACATCAGTAAATCTATTACACAGAAAGCCTTAGTACATCAGATAAAAACTATTTTAAAGTTGTTGGTTCATTAAAGTCCTGGGCTTTGGGCCTCTGTCTACTGCTCCAAAGTCAAGGTTGATAAGAACAATGAGTCCCCAGTGATGAGTCCATGAGTTCAGATTGTTCTGAATCCAATTCACTTAGCAGACCAAAGCGACGTACATCAGAGAGTAAGTAAAACACTAATCCATTCAGCAGCGGGAGCAATGTGGGGTTAAGTGCCCAAGGTCACATCAAACATGTTGCTTAGCTGGGGATGGAACCCTTGACCTTCTGGTTGAGAGACGACGACTCTACCACATGAGCCACAGCCGCCGCTTAAATGAAGGGTTAAACAAAGAATTCGATTTGATGCCTTTTCTATGATGAGTCTATCACTCCGGGTATCTTTGATTATGTGATAATGTATTTTGCCTTTCCATGTTGTGGAAAGTGCCCAACATTCAGATACGTGTCATTTTCTGGTGTCGACATCTTTCCTTCAGTTGATGATTCTATAGTGTATTTCGGCGTATTTTCCATTTACATTAAATTTATATCTGGACTTGTGTGGCACATTGCTGTGATATTTCTCTGATTCTTTCCATCTGTCTCTATCACTAGTTCTATATTATAGAGACCCCTCAATTATATTGTTTCTGGTGTTTGGACTTAGACTTTCTGCGTCATAAATTCAGATTGTGAAATAATTGAAATTCCATCATTCTTAAACATTGGCTCTATTTGTATATAGTTCAGGATTTAAATTACTGATTGGTTACATAGACGTTATAAAACATAAATGCTGTTTCAGAGCCATCACCCCTCTGAACGATGGTGGTTGCCACAGTCAATATAAGGGCCTGACTGATATGAGATTTGTGGGGTCAATATCGATGTTAGGGAGCGAAATAATCCAAAACCAATATATCAACCGATATCTTTCTTATATCTGTCTTTGACCTCTAGAGATAGATAGATATAGATAAAAACATTTATTGCCTTGATTCCTCAAATGCAGTTATCAAACACTTGTGGAAAAGATATATAACGAGTACACGATGGTCGCCAAACTGGAAGGCAACTGCACATGTACGTGTGTCAACGCTCGACACTCTGGAGAGTGATGATGCTTGTTGTAATCCATACAGTGCCCTCTGCTGGTTAAAGAGAGAACTGCTAGTGTAATACAATTAAACTCAAAAGAAATGCTATTTGACCGGTGAATAAATCTAGTGACTTGATATACTAATATTAGCCGATATCATCATTTAGCACCAGCTATTTGGGAGCTCGTCCGGGATCCAAAAGACTTTGGAATTGTTGTAAGCTTAGTTTGATTGTATATTGTATCGCTTGTGAATATAATGGTAAGTTGTTTGGGATGCATTTTTTCTAGCCTTTAGTGTGTAAAGCTTCCTCAGTTTAGTTAGGGAAGTTTGTGTTAGGCAGGTTCTGAGGAAGTTGTGTTTGTGTGTTGGCTAGTTGTGTTTTGGAATCTAGTGTTTGGCATCCGGCAACAAATTTACCTGGTTCACTATTGCGGTGAGTGTAACCCAGTTTGTTCGTTTTGTTAAGAAATTTAGCAGTGGCTTATAGGGATAAGACATTGGTAGCTGCCAGTGTTTTGTAATTTCCTACAGTTTAGCAATGATGTCTTCAGTTTTTTCTGCTTGTCCGTGCTCCTCTTTGTATTCTTCGTCTATAAATATGACTATTTCATCTGTAGAACTGGGTATATACATTTTCTTATGGGAACCTAATTGGGAATTTGGGGATTTTTGGAGCTAGCATCAAGTGGCAACCTGAGGAACTGCAGTTTCTTTTTTCACATCCACATTGGCTTCCCTTTTTAACACCAGAGGTTGCTGCTTGATTGGTTACAAAAGGTTTTGGATTTTTTTCAGTGCATTGATCAAGTAGGACACATTACAAAAAAAGATCCTTACTTAGCTATACCTTCTTTTGTTAAAGATCTTTAAACCATAACGAGTGGTTAAATGGCTCTCTCCTTTGCAACCAGGCTACAAGACAAAAACAGTGACTTCACCTTGCAGAGCACGTAACATACAATAATGCAAAGTAGATTACTGACTTGGGCAGCAATATGAAAGAAGTCCCTTCTACTGTGAGTATGATGGCCTTAAAGAGAGCAATGAAGCAGCGGTTTCTAATTTTAGCCTTTTCTCACCATTAGCACTGATGTTGTCCCATGCTTGTTCTAAAGTATTCAGTTTCTCCTTTGTGATCTCCAGTTCTTTATTCATGGAAGATATTTGCTCCTGAAGAGACTCGTTCTCGTTCTGAAAGATCACGAGGAGGGGGGGGGAAAGAGAGACATACATGGTACAGTCAGTAACAGTACATAACCACATATCACAGAAGGTGTTGGTATTGGAGGTTTAAAGAAAAATGTTTGGACAGTCGATGTGTTTTCATACTTCCAGGCGTTCGAGGTTTGTGGTCCTCTGGATCAGGCGGCCGTCCCTCTGCAGCATGTCTCTGTATTTGACTGTTAGCTCTGTGTACTGTTTGTTGGCCTTCTCCAGGTCTGATGAGGGCACGCTATCATCCAGAGCCTTCTGCAGCGCTGCTATCTTATAAGCAGCCATTGCCTTAGGATGAAGGATAACGTAATCCCGTTAAGAGGAAATAATTCACCATTTTCACACTGCAGTCATTTATCTCTGACATCACACTCAGGGTGGGAGTGTGAAAATACTTTAAACTCTTTACTAGTCTTGTTTTTTTAATGGGAGGTATAATTATTTATTTCTTCTTTTCTGTTAAACTGCTGTGTGGGGGGGGGGCATCATTTCCTTATTTTAAAGTCTGCAGATTCATCATGAAAATCAGCAGATCAGGAACTGGGAAAGACAATGAAGGGACATCAGGGAATAATTAAAGTTGATATGATGTAATTAATTATCTATTATCTGCTGGTAGACAAAAGTTTAAGTTTGTCAGGCCATGGACCCATATTTAACTATTGACAATCACGTCTACATTAGAAAAAAATTTGGTTTTTCAATAGTTAACAAGTCGAACTTGAAATAAAAAGCCTTGTTTTACCACTGAATTCATTCTAGAAATATGCCACACTCATTAAGCCTTTGCTTTTTTACTCTAAAACACTCAAAAGATTCTTTCATATGAAACTGAACTCCCCGTCTCTCTACCTTAAATCTCTGCAGGTAGCCCATCCTCTGGGTGACAGATGCCTGCATTTGGCTGCTGTCATCCCTCAGCTTGCCGTTCTCTTTGCGTAGGTGCTGCTCTTGCTCCAGCAGGGTGATGTAGCGACGCGTCAGCTTCTTCTCATTGACCTTCAGCACCGTCATGTTGCGCAACACTTCGCTCAACTGCCTGTTGATTTCCTCTGGGTCCTTCTGGAGAGTGTCAAGCAGCTCCTTGTGTGAGGGAGACGCATACGATTAGTATTTAATGAAACTTTTGTGAGGAAAGGACTCACCAGGAGGTGGGATAAGGACAGTGATTCATAGAGGAATATCCATCACATGTTCTTTGGTTTTCTTTTAAAATGTGTCATCCATTTTCACTTTTGTCCTCAATCATTTTTAAAAAACACAAGTTGGGATTTACAACATGTTGGACCTCTTTCCAACATGTGCAGACACCAAGGTTAAACACCAGGTCCTTCCTGCTGTGAGGCAATATGTGTCTAATACACTTGCGGGTTCCGCTCGTATTTTAAACGGCTTCACAGACAGAGGGGTCTGTTCTCCTTATGTTTGTTTCACATTTAATGACTTGGAGGATGTTAGACAGGCAAAAATCAACAAGGAGTTTTAGTAAGATCCATGCGTGGCAGATCATGTTCCACATTGCGAGCATTAAACATCCAAAAGCACTGATCTGTGTCAGTGTGTGTTTTAAAGTCCTCCAGGTAAAGATTAAATCATTCAAGTAGTACATCTTGCAGCGCTTAGGTCCGATTAACATTATAAAGATTTATTTGTCTGGCTTACTTTGAATTCTCGGAGTTTAACAGCATCCACCTGCGTTTGTTCCTCAAGCTGGTTGTTCTTTTCTGCTAATGTCTCTTTCTTTTTCTGCCACTCTGCTTTTTCGCTGAGAACAAAAAAAAAAAAACACCAATAGAACAGTTTCAAATTTTTGTGAGACTACAAAACAATAACAACCTTGGAGGAACTCTATTGTTAACCAACTTGAGATATTCCTTGTAGAGGAGCCCTTGTTGGTGGCTAATGACGGAAAACTTCTCTTTGTATTCCTCCAGTGTTACTACGAGCTTCTCGCTTTGTTCCTCCTTGTTCTTGAGCTCCTAATAAATAACAGCATTACAGGGTTTTCATTTTTAATTGAGACATGATGTTGAATTGAAGATTTTGCAACCCCTGTCTGAAGAAGGCAGAGACACTGACCTGAAGAAGTCGGACACAGTACTCATTCAGAGAGCTGATGACCTTAGTGCTGCTGGGCTCCAGATCCTCTGGGAGGGTCAGAGGTCTGAAGACGACTCCACCGCTGCCTGACCTCCTTAACAGCTCCAATTCATCTTTCAGTTGGCTCACCTGATAGCCATAAAAAAATAAAAAATAAAAAAATAAAAAGGAAAGAGCATCATAATCCTAGGTTCTTCACTGGCGCCCCTGGAAATTTGCCTTGAAATAGTAAAATGGTAAGTGTGATTTTTAAATTGAGAGGCTCAAGAAGTGTTCATAAAAATCATACACTCTATATAAATACGGACGAAGACTCAGTGACGTCAGCCACTGGTTGCAGAAGGAGACTTTTGAAGCCTGTTGATGGGGGTGGCCATATTTGAAATGCTGTCACAACCTTACTTTAGGTCAACCTTACAGCAGGCATAAGGCTGGAGCTGGCTGAGGCAGATATTAAGCCTTTTGACAAACAGCCTGCCCGTCAGTCAGTTGTGACAGCCAAGTAATTATGAAAAACTCTTATCCTTCTCAAATTAAAAACGGATGAGATGTAACACAATTCACAACCCGTACAGTGTGTGCCAGCCAGGAAATAAGCTATTCAGACCCAATAAAGTTTTTTGAACCAGGCTGTCAAGATGTTAATTTCTGCTGTAGAAAAAAGGCTTTTTTCCCCAATGGGGTGTGTATGTGGCTTCCTGGGCTTCTGCAGCCTGCCTCAAGTGGACACTCTGGGAACTGCAGGTTTTTGAACTTCTGCATTTGCTTCATTTTTCAACACTGGAGGTTGCCGCTTGATTAAAATGTGATGTCAGTACACACCCAAGGACAACACTAACAGGTATAGAGTGTAAATTTTGTCCTAAAAATCCCCAAATCAGTCGAGTTCTACTCCGCTGATTTTGTTGTTGCATCTTTTATCTTCTTGCTTTAACTTTGATTTAATAGTACAGGCAATTTCATCACAAAAATCATTGTGTTTTGTGTTTAAAATTTGCCTTATTTTTGGGGGTATTTGTTGATAAATTGCCTTCTGTGTATCATGATTTTGCTTTGTCAGTCACAGCACTTTGTTAAATCTGTTTCTTAAGGGCAATAATTTAAAAAATATATTTTTTTATTACCAGATCATTTCCTTCTTGTGCAGGGTCATTCCAATAAAGTCAATACAAAAGATGAGCCCAACAGACAACAAAGAGTTATTGTGAGAAACAAAACAAGGTAATAAAAAAAGCATAAGATACACAATCAATTTGAACAGAGTGGAGGACTTAATGAGGAGTTATGAGGCGTATTAATGCTCTGAAACAAACAGGGCTTTTTGCTTTATAAACTAAATGAATACTATTAAACATTTTTGGCAGATGCAGCTGTTCCATTTTTTTAAATTTTAAGATCCAATTGTGTTTACCTCCGTTCTCTTGTCACACTAAACACAAGCAACATGTTAAAAGAGGAGGAGATGGAGTGTTCATATTCATGTTCCAGTCATTCTTATGACTGGAAGAGACTGAAAATATGTCAGGCACAGCTTCGGTCTATATCAATTGTCATGATGTAAATTGCTAAACATGTCTTGTAAGAACTTTCAGACATTTAGAAAGTAATCTTGTTGATTTACGAAACAACATTCACAAGCAGCTGCTAGCATTTGATGTTGTCCCGTAACAAGCGGACTGGAACCAGACTGTTTGGATCTGAGTGATTTGAAAAAATTATATTCTGTTCTGATAAGAAAAAACGGACAAAGTGAATTACACTGCAAATGGGGATTTAGCTCCAAAAAGGATGTCTGTTGACCATATTTTTGTGAGTATAATTGAAAACTGTTTGCATGCATTTTTTCTTGATTTTATTTTGGGGCTATTTCTGCATTTATTAGAGGGAAAGGACAGTGGATAGAGAGAGTAGCGAAAGGCATGTTGGAAAGGAGCCACAGGGCGGAATCAAACCTGGGACGCCCGTATTGAGGGCTACAGCCTCTCACATGGGGCGCGCAAACTAACCACTAGGCCACCAGCACCCCATCCCTTGAAATTTTTTTAAATCCCATAATTGGGGGCCTATGAGGTATAATTTTTTTTGTATTTTTTTGCTGTAGTATTGAAAAAGGTATTGCTATTGTTGTTTTATACAAATACAACATCAATATTGTTAGATTTTTTACTAGTATGGTATAAAAGTTTAGCAATCTGGTGTTGTGTCACCCCTCTTAGCTCATTCACAGGTTGTGATAGAAAGTGAATGAATCAAGATAATACCATTCATGTTGTTGTTTTTTTTAAATCAGCATTGTCTTATAAACCTTGACTTTACAGCTGGATGTACCTTCTCTTTGGCTGTAGCTAGTTGACTGAAGCTGCTGGTGGCCTCCTCGCGGGCAGATTTGAGTTCCTGCCTCAGTTCTTCGTTCCTCCCCAGCAGCTGATGTATTTGGGACTTCAGGTGCAGAGCTGACTCAGACTGCCCACTCATGTTGTTCACATCTATAACCTGTAACAGGGAGGAAAAGCTCAGTTAAAGTGTCATTAAAGATATCCCCAAAGATTAATTAGATTAATGAATAACGTCCAAGAGAGTCCCTGCCTGTATTAAGAGTATTTGATATACCAATGTATTCTTATTTTTACATTTGTTTTACGTAAAAACAAATGTTATTTGTTTTCCAAAATCAAACTGCTTACTGTAAATATTAAATGTAATGCAGCTTGCTCCTGTTCCCCGCTGTCACTTCCTCCTTTGCCCTGCAGTGTGACATGGAAGTCAAACAAAAACTGACCTCATCTGGCTCTAGTTTGACTATCAAGTAGATTTATTCAATGTTTACGACAGCACAGCATGATCAACCGAAGGGTTTGGTTACGATCTACCTTTTCTGACTCGCTGCATTTGTTGTTAATTAGGTTGCTATGTGACAAGCCTTCCCTCAACGTACAAAAACCATTAAAATACCTATGAGGTGTGTATGCCCATTGTTTGCAGCATAGCAGGCGGCAAAACTCTACACAATGGATTGGAAAAATGTGGTAACTTTCAAAGAAACTTAAAAATCACATTTTTCTTCATCTTAGATTGGGGATATATTATTATTATTATTATTATTATTATTATTATTGTGTCTTCCCTCAGGAGAATTCCTATTAAGATACACTATTTATTTCATAGGAGAGTCCTGGCTAACAGTCAAAAAGATTCACATGACTGAATGAAAAACAGACTTACAACAACAATATTTACATCAAAAAATGGTAAATAAACTTGAGCTTGTACAGCTGTCTTCTGACTACTCCAAGCACTTTTACACCACAGGTCGCACCTACACATTCACACACTGATGGCAGGGGCTGCTATGTAAAGTGACCATCAGAAGTAACTAATCCCATACATGTGCATGCACCGCCGACGAAGCAGCAGGAGCAATTTGGGGTTAAATGTGATAATAATTGTTTAGCAATCTGGTATTATCACATTTATTATCACATTTAACCCCAAATAAAAATTTGGGGTTAAATGTGATAATATACATACATACATACATACATACATAATCTGTGTTCAGTGGCCAAAATTTCCTTAATCTTTTTTGTAAATTTCCATGCTTTCAAAGTAATCTAGTTTAAATGGGATGCATGTGTCCTGCCTATATGAGAGAAAAAAAAGTCACCAAAGACAGAGCAGCTTTGAAGAAAAAGAAAATACGTTCTCATTGAAAGTTTCATGTACCGTATTTTCCGCACTATAAGGCGCACTTAAAAGCCTTTAATTTTCTCAAAAAAACGACAGTGCGCCTTATAATCCGGAGCGCCTTATATATGGATCAACTGGTTAATTGGTTGATCCATACTGGTTGTACACGGCGCTCAGCGACACTGACTCGGATAATGACCAGAGGGAGCCGGGCATGTTGGATGCCGTACTCGGCCAACTGTTCAATTCGGACACTGAAGAAGAAGAATTCGAGGGATTCGTGGACGGGGAATGAACTGAAAAAGTGAGCTTTACGTGTTATACGTAACTGAACAATGTTGAGTTATGCACTAACGTTTGAATTAGCGGTATCAGACTGTGTTTCTTTTACGTGTTTACAACTGAACTAGGCTGGGAGATATTGTGAATATGCACATTAACGTTTGAACAACGTTGAGTTATTGTGAATGCACTACTATATTTATATTTATATATTCACAATATCTCCCAGCCTTGTTCAGTTGTAAACACGTTCTATTCTATGCGCCTTATAATCCGGTGCGCCCTGTATATGAAAACAGTTCTAAAATAGGCCATTCATTGAAGGTGCGCCTTATAATCCGGTGTGCCTTATAGTGCGGAAAATACGGTACTTATAAAGTAGAATAACTTGGCATAGAACATAGAAGAATAGTATATACTATGGACTAATTAGAGAACTTTATACAATTTCCATTGAATGGTTTCATGATGAAAGACATACAAAGTTTCTCAGAAAAGCTCAGATGACACAAAACATAACACACATTAGAACTTGTAAAACAAAACAACTGAACAAACTGACGCAAAGTACTTCACCATGTTTTTCTAACATTTAAATGTGTCCCTAGTCTGGCTACAAACCCCCCAATTATGAGTTAAGGCCTTCCTAACTCCATCTTTTGCGAGCTCCACTTTTCAGAAATGAAACTATAATACATTTCAAAATTGAGCCCAGGTTTTAAAAAAAAAAAAAAACCCACCAGAATTACCCTTTAATCTCAGCCATGTTTAATTTAAGTTAAACTGACTTCTGTGTAAAAGAGAATAAGAGTTATGGCATTATCTGACCTAAACCTGCTCTTAGTCATGACAACGGAATCTCAAACATTTGTGTTTAACATCACATTGGTATCACTTACATTAGCCAACCTTTCCAGACTGGGGATATTGAGGGCAGCACTAGATGGAACATTCTCTTGGTTTAACGTCAGTGCTTGAAGAACATCTGTGAGTGCGGCCTCAAGGTCGCTTTTGACTTTTGACAGTTCATCCACTGTGAGTTAAAGTACAGACAAGAACAAAATCACCAAAGCTTGTCATAAACTATATCCCATTATAATTATGAACCCTGCAGTATATCTTGTGATAAGTGTTGCCAGACAGACCAAAACCATAATTGTGAAAATGTCCACTTGAAGTTGGAATGAAAGGCTGTACTTACCTTTGACATGAAACTGGGTCTTGTGCAGTTCAAGCTCTCTCTCCTTTTTGCTCAGTTCTTTTTCGAGGTACTCATTCTGGAGAGAGAGAGAGAGAGAGAGAGAGAGAGACACACTTCATGTCAGGAACTTTATCTCAAACAAGCATGTTGTTGTTCTTCTTTTAGGTTTATTTTTGGGCTTTTTGTGCCTTTATTTGAGAGCAGATAGAGTCGAAAATCAGGGAGATAGAGAGTGGGGAATGACATGCAGGAAAGGAGCCACGGGTCGGATTTGAACCTGGGCCGCTTGGAAGACCACAGCTTCCATACATTGGGGGAGCGTGTACTAACCACTGCCCCAGTGTTTCTGTGTTTTTTACTTGAATCAACACAGGATATAGCTTCCTTAGCAGCTTCATGTTAGTGTTGTAGACACCGGGTATGTGTTCGAATTTTCATGAATTAATTCATCTTGGTAATTCTGTGGATGTACCAATAGATCTGTCTACCATCTAAGGGTAATTCTTCTTCTAGGTCTGTGTAGATGGAACAGTTTGCGTGAGACATCTCATAGCAGCAGATCTATATTTGGATTGGAGCTTAAAAGGTAACAAGACTGATATGTATATGTCCGGCATTTACAAGTCAAGGTAATGTCACCTTGCTAGCCTTTTGGAAGTGTATCCAAATAGAAAGGAATTTGTAGGTTGTAGCTTCGAGAATACAAGCAACACTGTTAACATGGAAAACTCTGTCAGCCGTTTGTGTTCTGCTGCTGCTGAACTTGGGCGTATAAGTTCTAAGATTATCCATAGTCTGTTTTGCAATTTCCTCTTTGATAATTTATAACAGAAACGCCCCAGCCTAACAGTATGACAATATATAAGTTGTCTTTGTGTGTTACATAAGAAAGGTGATCACTAAAGATGTGTTTCACCTTCGGACATTTTGAGTATTTGATCACACCTGCCATCCTAGTGCCATTCAGACTATTGGTGTTGAAATCTATATATGTCCCCCCCCCCTTTGTTTATAAATTATCGCCTGAATAAGACCTCTGGGTGCATCTTTTTCCTCTGCCTGCTGAATTTGCGCTGCCCTGCACCTACATGGTGTGCATATTCTACAATTCACTTACCATCTTAAAAAGGTTATCAAACAAAAAACATATTAACTACCTCTTTTTTCGAAGTGTTGTAGATATCAACCTGAGCTTTGCTGCTTCATTAATAAACCTGTAATGAACTCTTCTATCCTGAAGCCTGTTTTCTGTCCTTCTATCTTTAGATCTTAACTTTTTTTTTTTTTAAATCGTCACACACGATACACTATGTTGTGTTTTCAGTCAGCAGGAACTTTTTCATAGTTCTAGGAACTGTTGGAACACCCCTTCCCCCAGTTTGTTTTTTTGTATTGACTCTGCGCCGCAGGGACTATGAACTACGAACTACTTTAGTTCCTAGAACCCTGTTAAGAGAACTGTTTGGTCTGAAAACCCCTGATGATGCAACAAAGTCCGACAAGAAGAGGGACCCCTTGATCTAAACCAGGATACTCCAGTGCAATTAGAACCAGATCATATGAAAGACTAGCACAAACAAATCCTTTCTGTTGGTTGTACTCAATGATAGCGACATTGAATAATTTGTTTTTACTTTTCAGTCAATGGTCTGCCTTTCAAACATTTGGCCTTGATTAAAGGTGAGATAACATAAATCACGTGATTATTCAGGAACTTACTTTCAGTCGGATTTCTTCATCCGATTCAGTGATGCTCTGTTTGCGTGAGAGCCGCTCAGTTCTGCTGGACCAGACGTCGTCCTCCAGCTGCAGGCTTGAATGTGGGATCCCTGTAAACACAGAGGATTGTTGTTACCGCTTAAGACAAGCAGAGTTTAAATATGGAACATTACTCTGTCTGTAAAACATTTCCAAGGATAAGTTTTTTACTTTTAATTTGGCATAAGAGGAAAACTGAGTGAGTGAGCGATAAATTAAAGATAAAGTGATTCACTTTATCTTTAATTCTCTTAAATCGAGCAAAACGTTGAATCCACAGCAGAACTCACTCTTGATTGTTACAACAACAAAAAAGAAGGTGATTTAGATTTTCTTTGTGATCATCTATACCAGAAGATACTCTCAGGGCCTGATTTACTGAAGGTTTGCGTGTCTTAAAACGTGAGCAAATGTGATACCATCCGCAAACAAATGTGCAGTGAGTATTGCGTCTTTCATATGAGAAAACAACTCGCATTGTCCATTTCGTAGTTTTTCTGAATGAATATGCAATATGAGGTGTTTCTGCCCTGGCGTGCAAAATACTGGGAGAGAAAATGGAAAGAAGTTAAGTTAGTACACGCATTGCGATTTACCAAGCCTGGAAAAAATTGCTGTTATTGTGCCGGTGTCTGTATTTAACACCTTTTAAAGGAAGGTGCTAAAGCAGGAGCCCAGTGTTACGCACAACAGGCTGCTATTATTGTAGTTAGGAGGAGACATAGGCACGATCAAAGAAGTTGTAAATCGCACTACGACCAAACAGACAATTTAGTACTTACTTGGGACCTTAGTAAATCAAGCCATTACAGTTTTGCACCTTTTTGCGGGCATGGATGTCATTGCATATAGACTACCCTGCAGACTTTTACCTCATTTTTAATAACTTGTCAAATTAACCAACATAACATCAACGTGGTGAGCGCTAATATTATTATTTCAGCCACTTTTCCTACAGATTCAAATCAAACACGACCCAACATCATGCATTACGTTTTTGAGAAACAAAACATTCTTGATGCAATCATAGTTTAGACTAAAAATGTTTTTAAAAATAATACAACTTTGATATATTTTGGTTTGGCAGGTGGCACAGTGTCCTCCTGGCTGGAATAACACACACTGCTATATCCTGCAAAACCTAAGCCTGTCAGGGTGAAACACAATTCTTTATTGAGTCTCAGTCTTGCAGATAGTTTTGTTTTTTGTTGCTATAGTTTTGAGAAATCAAAACTTTTACGCCTTTTCACAAATCCAGTGGCAATAACAGAACAATGTTTCTTTCTCTGGTTGACCTCAAAGGCCGTCAACAGCTTAATAACACTGCTCCCTTGAAAATGCATTGCTGTTGGAAGTTTTAAATCGATCATCATTGCACTGTTGCCATGGAAATTTCAAACAGAAAACAGTTCAGTCTAAGATACAAACTCAAGTTAGAATTTGGAATAAAACCCAAAGCAACATTTTTTTTTCCAATCTTCCTGCTGAAAAACACACAGCAGAAGAATGTTCAATCTAAGAAAAATGGTGTTATGTAATTCGGTGAGATCTGCATCACCTCTTTCTTTCACCATTCGTCTGACCGCTTTCTTTAGCTCGAGTCTCTCCTCTTCCAGTCTTTCAATCTGGAAGGAAATCAAACAGTGAGATGAGAGGTGTTTAAAAAACCCCAGTGGTTATAAAATAAGTTGTTTTCACCTTTTTTGTAATCACACTTTACCTCTTTGGTCAGGACCTGGTTTTCTGCTTTGTACTGGCGTTGTCTGAGTTCTTTGGCTCGCTTGAACTCTGTCAGATCCACTTCTTGCTTTGGTCCCAGACCTTGTGATAGATTGAAAGAGACAGAGATGAACGTAAATGAAAAAAACAATTACTCAGCGACTACGTCAGTCATAGTTGTCAAAATATACTAAAATACAGAATAAGCAAAGATGTATGTTTTGTTTAATCCGACCTAGTTTTTCTCTGAAGTCCTCATTTTCATCCATAAGGTCATTGATTGTCATTTCCAGCTGGTTGATCTCTTTGGTCATGGCCTCTGCCTCACGATCTCTCACCGAATTAGATTTTTACATTCTTTGATCTCCAAAATGGCCGCTTCCAGGCCATAAGTGCCCTGTAATACACAAAAAAAGCAAACATTAAATATTCATCAACAGGCCCCTTTTGTTTCGCCTCTTAAGCTTTGTGGGTAAAACCAGGACATGATTGGACACGGCTACAAAAAAAAAAACCTGAGCCTGTGGATGAATGAAAAGAAGGTTGATAACACTGGTCACACTGTCCTTTCAATGTCTCCTTTAATGTAACGATGGATGAGAAAACAAACACAAGCCTTTCTTGTTTTTATATGGACCGAAGAACAAGTTGATGAAATCAAAATAAGCACTTAAGAGGAAGAAGAGGGCATTTGAAGACTTACAGACTCATATTGGCTCAAGCGATTTGAAGCCTCAATGAGCGCTTTGTCTTTTTCTTCAGCATGAGCTTCTGCAAGCTTCATCGCACGCTGTGCGTCCACCGCTCTGGCCTCTGCGGTTTCCAGCTTGGACTTCAGATCCTCCATCTTTCTCTGTTGTATGGTTGACGGTAAGCCTGGGTGAAGAAAAACAAAATAATAACTTTAATTCCTGAAAAACCAAACCAAAAAAAAATAGCCTAGCTGCTTTTTTTTTTAGGATATTAAATGTTGGACAGCCAACGTTTTCTACAGCTCAGTGACTCAAAATCATAAATCCTACTCCTCAACAGTTACAGCCAACATATCAATCAGGTTGATGGTTCCCTCAGTCCACTATCTTCCAATATCACACACAATGCTCGAAATTTAGGATTATTTTTTGGCTTCCCCTCTCTCTCTCCTGTTTCATTCAATTCATCTCCAAAATTAGAACAATATCTGCCACAAGACGACCGGGAACAAGTTAATCATGATCTATTCTTGACTGGACCAGTACATCGCCATCACTTTCTTGCCTCCAAATGGCCCATAATGCAGCAGCTAGCCTTCTTACTGGTTTTTAAGCTAACGGAAACTTCTGGTGATGAAAAAAGAAGAGCAATCTGGAAGAGCAAAATCTTGCAGTGCGTCGACTGTCCACTTCAGGAGCCCCAGAAGTCACAAATACACCACATTCAACAATGTCAGTCTTTAAGAAATTGTTTACAGGTCTGATTAGTCATTGTCCTCATGGGCACACACTGTTCGGGGGAAGGATTTTTCAGCCAGGCACATAGCTGCCCTGGTTGACAGGTGGGCGTTATGTAACATTTCGTCAGGAGGCTTAAATCACACTTCAGCTCCGGCTCTCAGCCTGTCGTTAGGTTGACTGAACCTCAGTTTGAGACAGCATTTCCAGAGCCCCACTGCCGTAACAGATGTGTGAAGTCACTCACACTTTGTCCATGCACGCTATGCTTTTAACAGACACCATCACCCCATCTCAATCCTTTCTCCCCTCCCCTTGTTCCCTTGTCCGTCTTCACTTTTAAAGCTTGTCTGCTTCTTGCTCCAAATAATGAAAGGTGACTGCGAGTCCTCCGTCGGGGCTTTCGACTTTGGAAAGACGAGATTAAGCGTTCAGAAGTAGCAACTTCTTTTACATCACTACTTAAAACTTTCTTTAACCCAGTTGCTTTAATGACATTTTCTTGAATCTCTTTTCCATTATCCTTCTTACTGCTCTTAATATATTTATCTATTCCCAGTCCTCCTCTGAGGTCCTACGCTTCCTGTACTTACTGCTCTTATTTATTTACTTATTTCTCTTTTATTCATATTACTGTTCCCAATCTATATGTCTGTTTCATTTCCTCTGACAGGATGTTGTCTTCTCATATGAGACCATATTTTTTTTTTATTGTTTTATGACTTTCTCTGCCTTTTTTAGATCTGCCTGAACTCTTTTAATTTGACCTTCAAATAACCTCTACTTTTGTTTTCATACCTTGTTGATGCTGCCTTCCTATGAAGCGGTGGTTGAAGAATGGGAGACAGTTTGAATGTGTATCATATTAACCTTCTGGGTTTCTACCTTTTAGTTTTTCTCTGTTACATGTGTTTATTTATTTTCCATTCATATAACCCCTTTATTCCAATCTTGTTAAAGATATTAATGTTTTCAGCCGGTTTGCCTTTATTAGATAGGACAGCCGAAGAGAGACAGGGAGGAGAGAGCGGGGGATGACATGCAGCAAAGGGGCGAGGTCGGATTCAAACCCACGCCCGCTGCGACGAGGACTGTAGCCTCTATATATGGGGCGCACAACATAACTGCTAGTCTAGACGCCCAAATTCCAATCTTGTTAACTCTATTTTGCAAGTGCACACTCAACCTGTGCTATTTAAGCACTACCTTTCTGTTACTTAAATAAGATAAATCCTTTCACTTTGAAGCTGGAACCGAAACAAACAAAATATCAGCCTTTAAATCTTCGGTTCCCCTATCTCATACAGTTGTGGAATGTTTTTAGATACATCTGTACCAACAAAGCACATCTGGATTTAAGGAACTGCCACACATTTTTTCCTTTCAAGTTCATTAACGCTATGCAAAGATGGTAACTGATTCAAATGAAGTGTGATTTAATAGAGTTTCACCCTGTGTAGCCTTTAAAAAACCATCCCTGTAGCCGTCTCATTACAGGCCTTTGAAACAGACTTAACTCCTGAACCCTACTCTAACTATGGACTGAACATTATTTTCAGCAATAGTCTGACAATGTCAAAAAGCAGAGGTAAAGATAAAATTGGTAAATTGGGAAGGAAGCAAAGAGCTGGGAGATGTATAACAAATGAAGATGTGTCAGGAAAACGGGAAAGTGGGACACAGGTGCGGACCCAGGGATGTCTTAAAGTTATCCAAGAAGGATAACCACAAAAATCGCAAGCGATAGATTGGAGGGGGGGTAGGGAACAATGAAAATAGTATAGAGCCAAAACACTCCTAACTAACGCACCGAAAATTATCAACTAAACCACTGCTGCCAGGCAGCTGACTCGAAACTAAATTGTCCGGGAGACCCAGAAACAATTCACGAAAGTAAAGGCTGCCAGGGAGGCCTTAAAACTCAACACAAAAGGCTGGGGTATATCAACTACCCAGCACCCCAAGTTATTTTGGCAATAGACACAAATACACAGAAAAGGTATTTGTTTGTGTTTATGAACACACAGACAACAAGAGACAACAGGGAGAACCTCTCACTACCTCTGAAGGTGAGATAATGGGTGCGTTCGAATTGTCCCTCCTATCTCCTTTCACTATCCACTTGACCTTAACCCCGCAAAAACGTCACGAGGTCAAGGAAAGATGTTAGAAGAATTCATAAAGGATTTAGGGAAAGGCGATCCCGTTGCTCTGACAATCCGACCGCATTTTCCACTAGGTCACGTCATTAAATGCGACGGGCCGGCGGAGGTTAATGACGTGGGTCTGCCGTGTTGAAACTACAGTGTTCCGAAAATGGACTACAAAAAACGCATTTAAAAAAACTTTCCCCTGTGCCTTCTTACCGGTGAAATAATCCTAATCACCACAAGGTTGGGATTGAACTAAAATAAATATAGAATACCAGGCTACAAGTAACAAAAGTGAAACCATCAGTTTCCTGTCCACTCATAAATCAACATCAACATAAATATGATTGTATGAAATTAATTGTTACATTTCTGCAAGATACACATAATGTTTTAAGCATACAAATGTACAACTACACAGCATTCATAAGTGAATGAAATATGTTGAATAAAACATCATCTGGATAAAAATGTCTCTTTTATCTCTTACATGACCTGTGTCACTTTACGATCATCGCTCATTTCCGTGAACGGTCGGATGCGCGACTTGCTTTAAATGTTGCGGCCGCAAGGAATTATGGGGCGTCATATCTCATCTCCTTTCGTAAAGGATGGTCCAGTGTATCCTATGCTAAAGGAGGTTATAAAGGAAGTAATGACCCACCTTTCCTTAACTTTTAGAGAATTCGAATGGCTCTTACCATGGCCGCCACTTAAATGCTTCAGGGGGTTAAGGTGAAGAGGATAGTGAAAGGAGATAGGAGGGACAATTCGAACACACCCTATGAGACAGCACAGAGCACTGAATTCCAGGAGTATATATAGAAGCTCCCCACACCTGGTTTTAATCAAGGCCAATCAGCCACAAACACAGCTGGCTCTACTTCAACCTGTCTAGCTCGCCATGGTTAACTTAAACATACAGCTTTGACCCCAGCGTTAATTAAAATGGACACTCAGTAAAGTAACTTTTAACTGCTTTAACTTATTGACTTTAAAGTGAAAGTGTTCAGATCACTTTGGACAAAACATGTATTGACCTTGATTTCTTTGGTACGAAGGTGTTCAATCAGAAATCGTAACCCACCTTTGTCTTTCTTAGTGGATGTCTTTAGCTCCTCAATGAGCAGCGTGTGCTTCTCCATCTCCCCCGTGTACTGCTCCACCTGGTCACTCAGCATCTTGATTTGATTATCCCTCTCTTGGACGGCCTTCAACATACACCAGCAAAAAAATAAAAACTCTACTTAAAGGCACACTGAATCATTGACACTTCCATCATTAAGGAAATGTATGAAATGAATGCTTAGAGGGGATAGGGGTAAGAGGCACATGATGAAACTTACGGTGCAGAGCTCATATATGACCTTTGCCCAGGACAGCGATAGCGAGATGAAAAGGAGGACAGGTTGATGAAACACAAAAAGGCAAAGAGAGAAAGCAGAAAGTAGGAAAACTGACAGAAGATATGAAAGAAGATAAATGACAATCCATGCCCAGGTCAGGACTTCCCTGCTCCGGTGGACACACATAACCTTGAGTGCACATGATAAACAGAAACTAACCCCTTCCATATTGCAATTAGGATTGTCCGCCCTCCCATTTAGGTAAGTAGCGTATAGACGGATTACATCGTGAGCCCACAGTTATGGTTACATCCTCTTTGACATGAGTGCCAAAAAACACATATGATACTGCTTTACAATAAACGATTTGAATCCCGAACATCCATATGTCCTTCAGCTATAACTGCGATATATTAACATAACACCACTTGCTGGAATCAAGTCAAAAAAAAAAAGAATGCTTTCATTTCTAAATATTTTTACAGCAACATATAATGGGATCATTTTAATTGTTCTTTTATGTTAAAGAAATCCGAGTTTATAGTGTTTCAAAGGGAAAACAGTTTTTTTCTCCATTTAAAGCCAATTTTGTGAGGCAGAGTTCTATATATGTTCTAAATATGACCACATCTCCTAAGAAGATGTCAGAAGTAGAACCTTTGTGTGTATGCTGCTTTCATGTGTCGTGCATTGAGTTTTTTCTGCCCTACACATGAAACAACAAATCCATCTGAATGACATCATGGCACTACCTGCTGCAAGGCAAGGATGTTGCTTTTATCCAAGTCCAGCTGCGCCGAACGCAGCTTCTCCCTCAGATCACGGATCATTTGCTGGTACACCAAAATTTCGTCGTCCTTTCCAGAGAGCACTCTCTGAGGGTGAGGAGGAAAAGATCAGGTCAGAGCATTAGAAGGCTTTTGATGCGCCTGTAGAAAAGGTTAACAATGACCACACCAAAATCAATGATGAGGCAGTAGGAACTGAAAAAGAGTCTCTTCTGAGCATCCATTTTGGCGCTCCTTTCATCTCTTAAAGGTCAAATATGATTTAATATACACTTCACCATGTTTTTCTAACACTAATATGTGTCCCTTGTTCGTCTATAAACTTCACAGACATCATTTTGGGAGCTCTGAGAGGTATTCAAGGTTTTTGAAAAAGGAGGATTTGTGTGACCTTTAAAACTTTAGAAATTTGGGCATGTCAAAAAATAGAGATAGAAAAACAGAAGCTTTCTTTAACAAAAAGAAAATCAGTTCTGATGTCACTCTAGGCCTAAAAACACTTCATTGGCTCACCCAGTACAGTACAGAATTGCTTTCAAAATCCTATTATCACTCCATTAAGCACTCAATGATTCAGCTCCCCAGTAGATTTTGAACCTGTTAACAGAATCCGAAGCCATGACCCAAGGGGCCAGGTTCCTCAGGTCATCAGGTGGAGGTCTTTTAGTTGTAACAACAATTAAGTCAAAGTTTGGAGAGGGGGGGCCTTTCGTTACTGTGGTTCTTCCCTCTCTCTGCAACAAACAGCCTGTTGTCCTATAAGTCCATTACAACTGTCGCCACTTTTCAAACTTAACTCAAAACAAAGCCTCAGATCTATTCTCCCCAGCGTACGAGTAGTTACTGTGTGTCTGTATGTGTGGTTTTCATTTGATTGTCTTGGTGCTATATGGTGATGGACTGCTGTGGTGTGTCTGATGTGTGCTGGGTGCTTGGTTTATTGATTTGATTTCTTCATATTATTCATGACTGTGGAGGTAAATGATGACTTCTGTATTCCCCTGACATGTGAAGCACATTGAGCTTACCATGAAATGTGCTTCATTTCATTAGAATGTCCAATAATTTGACGACAGGTAGACAGGGTTGTATCAAAGGTAGAATATGTGATTTTTCACACTTAAATATAAATATAATATAACCTTACGTATAAAAGTTGTTTAATTGAGGAACTAGAGAAAAGAAGAATACTGTACTCACTGCTTATTTGAATGTCACGTTAGCATTTTTAGATCACGGTCATTTCGTTTAAATTTACATGCAGTGTGAAGATACGAGCAAACTAAAAAGCGCTAGCATTAGCATGCTAACAACAATGCAACGCGAGTTGTTTTGGTTTCATGCTGGTGCTCAAGGGGCGACATCTACTGGATCAAAAAGTCGCACATTCTTCCTTTAATGGCAGGATGGGATTTAATTGAAATGTTTTATTTCGAACGTGTAAAACAGAAAAAGAAACCTAAAAACAAAGAAATGTAAATGAAAAGTTTCTTTTAAAAGACATTATCAAACACTTAGTTAACCTAATTTACAAGTAGTATAACTTATGAAATCCCATCCTTTCCTCATTAGTCATGATTGATACTTAGCGTCCTTATTTATACAAACCTTTACTTTTCTCGTGCTGTGCAGTTGTTCACTTTTTTTAGACGCCTGTCTTACATCAAAGACTCGCGGGACTAAGAGGGAGAGTTTGAGTGACGATCCGCTGCCAGCACCGAGGGGCCATGCGGCCTCGGGTGCGGGGATCTCAACCGGTAATGATCCATCCACAGGTTAACCTACGGAAACCTTGTTACGACTTTTACTTCCTCTAGATAATCAGTTTGATCGTCTTCTCAGCGCAGTGTAATATAGCAAAGCTAGCATAATGGCACAGCTTCTGTACAATTCAAGGGCTTTGGACTCAGGCTCCTGTAGTCATAACGTTTACGAGTTCATAAAAAGGTTCCTGGGGGCTGTATACATTTCTACAGTCAGAAAGGATTAATAAAGTATTAGAATTTGCTCTATAGGTTACCCCTCTCTATCTTTATTACAAATATTTTTAAACTACATTGTACTTAAAGAAAGCAAAGTCAAGAGGCGCCCTTTTTTTTATTATTATTATTTTTTTTTACAGTTTGAGTTATTTGAGTCACACCCACCTTCCACTCCTCCACTTTGGAATTTACCGCTGCCATAATTGGATCATCGTCTTCAGCCATGCTGTGAATCTTATCTGTCAACTCTCTCACCTGCAAATTAAACCCACACACACACCCACACACACAGACATGTAACTCAGGGATATCTATCAAACAAATGTAAAAAAACAAACACGACAGCTGAAAGCCTGGACTCTTTTTTTTTTTTTTTAATTTTTTTTTTTAAAAGATACACCCGTAGGTGACGTAGGTGATAACCTTTTTGTTAAGTGATAAACAGTGTCGGGTGACTAATTTTATGGGGAGCACTGGCTCCAAGCCCCACCACTGACTCAAGGTGCAAACACTACTTCATTGAGGAGGGTCATTACTTGTAGCTTTGCATGATCCCTCTCTTTCCTGAGCTGGTCCATGATGGAGTCCGTCTGCTGTATGACAATCTTCATCTTGTTGTATTCGTCCGTCATCTTCTCCATTTCCTTCACAGACTCCTCCAAACTCTTCTGCATCTGCTCGTTCTGTGTTTTCAGGAGCGCGTTTTCATCCTCAGCGCGCTGGTGAGAAACAAAAGCATTGAAAACAGCAGTTAATAATAAAAGCAAATGAACACCATAAAACGTACTAATTGACATCAACATGATCTGGCATTTCTTTTTGGCAGGTACAGGGTTTTTCCTCCGCCAAAGGCCTTGGTGGTACGGCGTTTCTCAAAGACTTCAGCCCTAGTATCACCGCGTGTGCAATATAACGTTCTGTCACCTCATTCGTACAGAGTTCAGCAGATTAACAGCTTTAAAAGTACCTGAATGTCTTCCATGTACTGGTAGAGCTGCCGGTTGGCCAAAATGAGCTTCTTCTGGGTCTCTGCACTCTCGTCTTTGGATGGAGCCGGCTCCTTCTGCTCCAGCTCTCCGCGATAGAAGTCGACATCCTGCTGGAGGTGCTCGTTCTGTCGCGGTGCAGGAAGGACATAATGAGTCTCACAGAGGAAACTTGATACACTGTCCCATGAGCGTACACTACTCTAGAGACACTACAACAACATATTTCACATCAATACCTCTATCTCTTACCTTTTTCTTAAGCTTTTTTATCTTAGACGATGGAAAAGAAAGAGATGAAAAGAGATGATGACATTTTAGAAGTAGGCATTAAGAGAACTAGAGGCGGCAAAAGTTACTGAGGAGGTAAAGCCAGGTCCAGACTACAGGAGTTCTGGTCCATGTTCTCTCATGATACATTCAAGTATGTTTGATATTTGGGATTTTAATTTTGAGTGATCAATAGTCAATGAGAGAGAGAGAGAGAGAGAGAGAGAGAGAGACGCAGCCCCTAATGATTGTTAGCACTTATGCCAGATGTTAGAATAATATATCTGATAGATGTTGAAACTGAAACCAGCTGCAGCTACAGACCAGCTGTACCTGAATGTTTTTCCTTCCGCACTCATTTGTTTTTATTTCTTGCCATAAAGAATTAATACAGCACCAAATCAGTCCCCCTTTTTTGCTCCCTTTGCCAAACACAATAATCTTCAAAGTACCCCTGTGTTGTAAAACTTAATTATTTTCAGATTTTGTAGGGGGTGCATGTTGAAGATTAGAGGGAAGAACATCTGGGAAATGTATCCTTAAGAGCATGAAGCAACCAAATTTCAAAAGCTGTTAGGATTTTCAAACTCCTATAGTCTGAGTCTGAGCCACGCCCCTGGAATAGATGGTGTAATGAATAAAGATGAAGTGAGGAATAAAAAAAAGATTTTTTATGATCTGTAAGATGTAGTGCCAGCTGCCAAGTACCTCTCTTTTGAGCTTCTTGACCTCCTCCTCCGCCGCCTCTGCTTGTGCAACCAACTATAGGAAAGAGAGAGTACAAAACGCACGAAACAAAGTCTAAATTTAACAAATGTTACATGTGCATTTTGCAATAGACTTGCTCTAGTGTACTGGAAGCCCAAGGATTCGAATATGTCTCAATCCTAATTCTTTGGTCCTATGCTACTGTATGCAGGGGAATTCAAGGTAACATGCTCATACCTCCATGTTGGTTTTCTTGTCTTTGCCCATTTCTGTCTTGCATTGGGTCAACTCCTTTTCCCTCTGCTCCAGCTGATTCTCGAGCTGACGGATCTCATCCCTGAGAAAGCGGGTGTCTGGCCCTGAGCCGGTTGGCTTAGCCTTCAGACCGGAAACAAGACACAAAAAAACACCCAAACAACCCCCACCAGGAAACCTCTTAGTCCTCCATCATCTCCATCTGTTCACAGACTATTAATGCACACACTGTCACACAGGTACCTAAAAAAGGACTTTCTTTAACAAACGATCATAGTGTCATTTCAGGTAACAAGCAAACTTTCTTTGAAACTGAGATGTAATAAAGAAGGTTAGAAAAGTAATAGCTGAGTGAGCATGCAAGGTATTAACAGTAATCTTCTTAGGCGTTGTCATCCAGTGGTCGATACAACCAATCCGTGTGTAGCTGGGGTTACCCCCTATGATTGGCTCAAAGACTTGGACGGAAGTTGTTGTTGCTTTTGTTTACGGAAGTGACTCAGGAAAGAGCAGTGATTTCAAATCAGATTATACATTAATTGTTTTGTTTCCTTATTTAACACGGTACTGACTGTAGTCTCAGGGATAAAGACGATCCAACTAATAACACTAAAGTAAGTTTGCAGAAAAGCAAGACAGATAAGATGAAAAGCATTACCTTACACTCTTGTTCCAGCCTAGACACCTTGGCGATGAGTTCCTTTTCTACATTACAGAAGTCATAATCAACAATACAAATTACATTTTTGTTCATAAGCAAAACTTAAATATTTGCTACATTTTACTACTAAGATTTAAATGTGTGCTAACCTGTTTTGACTTGCTTTAAACCCATGTTATGAATGAAGTCATGGGTGCGAGAAAGTTCCTGATCTTTCCTCTACCAGGAAGACAGGGAGAAGACAAGTATGTCAAAAATCACAACATGGGTGTTTTGGAGAGAACTGAATAGCAAGAAGAAGATTGTGCACCTTCAACAGGGCCTGAAACACTTTGAGGACTTGAGTGATGTCCTCTGGAGCTTTGCCCTTCACCTCCCATTCTTCAGCCTACATGGACAACATAGTTTCATTAGAAAAATGGTGAAATGCAAGAGTCTGAATAACTTGAAGTTTTCCGGTAAATAGACAGCACTTATGTAAAATAATGTAATACTGGCGACAAAAAAAGATGGTCTGTCAACGCAAAACAGTTAAACAACTAATACGCTGAACAATCATCTCAGATCAGCATAATGGCAAGAAACAAACAAATATACAGCACCTTTAAAATCAGGTGTGTAAGTGCTATTGACTCCACTAAATTTCAACAATAAGGTAAGATCAAAATGTAATAACAAAAAGATCAAGAAACAACAAATGCAATCAAAATTAATTAAAAGAAACAACCAGCAGATCTTGAAATCCAGTTGAAGTAATAAACCAATACAATCAAATAACATACAGTAAGACCTTCCTGGGGGTCTGAGAGGAGCCCAGAATATTGAGATTTTTAAATGCAGTCTTAAAACTCATTTATTCAGTCTGGCTTTTATATAGTGTTTTATATCATTTCAAATCGTAACATTACTGTATTGTCTTTTTTATCCTACTACAATTTGAAATATTTTCCTCTTTAATATCTTGTTGCTTGTATGTGTCGTATTTTATTTTTATACACATTTTATTTTTAATTCTTATTGGTGTGCATTAGTCTCTCAATGATTTTATAAACTACTTATAAACTACTTCTGCACTCTTGGTAAGCACTTTGAACTGCAATTGAATTTGTCTGAAAGGTGCTGTATAAATAAAGATTGATTGATCGATTGTTTGTAAGATGAGCAGTCTTTGCTAAACTCACAGCAACAATGCAATCAAATAGTCATCTTAAACCAGGGAGGCGTGAGTGGTTGAGATTCATTTCAGGTGGAAATAAGTGATTACAGGTACATGAAGTGTTGACATTTACCGAAACGAACATGTTGAAGATCTCGCCCGATTGCTCTTCTTCGTTGAGGTCCTCCAGATTCCCCGGGTCGAGTCCCATCACTTTATACCACTCAAGAGCAGCTGGCATGTTGAGCAGAGATTTAACCGAGAGCAGAAAGAGCCTCAGATTTCCTACATACTTATCTGTCTTATTTCTGCGTGGCTAACCACTGCTGTGCTGTTCAATGTTTATATTTTTTAACGCATCAGGTGTCTTGTTGTTTTGCTTAAACGTTAAACACTTGAACCCGATATATATGCTTCCCCTTTACTGAAATTAGTATAACATGACAGATGCGGAACAAAGGCTGATCTCAAGTCAAAATTACAGTAAATACACATCTTAATTTTGCCGTGTTATGATGCTTTGGCTGCTAGGTTACCACCGACAACGAACAGTGCTAGTTAGCTCACAAAGCTAGCCGACAAGAAATAAAAAAAACTAGTAAAAACGAGACAAATGGACCCGGAAAGGAAACTTTACCCGGCGGAAGACACTTGACGGATAAAACGCTGTCACTACTGTACCTATAAACGACTCTGTATGGGCAGAGAACACGTAAATTTATCAAAAACAATCATCTCAGTGTAACTTGCGCGCTGACCTCTGCACCGGAAGTGATAGTGAAGACGCGTTCACGTTAGCTTCCTCAAACGAATGGAAGCTAGCACTGTTTAGTTCGTAAACACTCTTTTTTTTCGTGTCACCTCAGCTGTCACCGTCCGCCCCGTCATAGACACGATAGGTAAGAAATTCAAGGAAGGCGTTAAAATACACTTGCGCACGCCTTATCAGTTTAAAAGACTTGAATCAGCCGTGTTAGCATTAGCTGCTGAGCTAGCCTCACCATCAGCTAACGTTGTGTTGCAGTTAGCCGGTTGGAAATGCTGCGTTAAAAGAGTTTGTTCTGCCTTTTAAAAGTGATTGTAAAGAGTCGAGTCGAGCGGGATGCTGAACTCGGGGTGATGTGAGCACATTTGTTTGTTCTAAAAGACGCGCTGCTGCGTTTTTGTATTGTTTTGAAGGCCCTCAATGTAGAGATGAAAAGAAGCTGCTGATGAATGAGAAATAACACACACAGTCAAACACAAGATGAAGGAAAGGTGGTGCTATCCTATGCATTGTAATGTGAGTGGATGGTTGCATTAAAAGTGTATTTCACATCAGGATTAATATGACAAACATCTGTTTATTTTTCTTTTTACTTTTTGTCCTGTACAGTGATCAATGACGGCTTTGGTCAGCCATGGCTGTCGTGTCATGGAAGGAGATTTTACTTTTGACTGGACTGGTGGTGGGATGTTACTGGAACAGTGTGTCGTGCGGCTTCGCGTTTGATGATGTCTCGGCTATTCTTGACAACAAGGATCTGCGGCCCTCAACTCCCCTCCGCAATCTGTTCCTCAATGACTTCTGGGGAACACCCATGGCTGAGGTACATCATAGTCCCTTAAAAAAAAAACATCTCCTTTCCCTGAAAATTAACATAAATATTCACATCTTTTGTACCATATTATATTGTGTTGTGTCTTCACTTTGGTCAGTAAAACATGTTATAGTTTAGTACTGTTTGGGGAAATCACAACTAATGCCGTGGGGAACAGTTTTATGATAATTCATTCGTGGGTCAAGGTTGTTGTTTTTTTAAGTTGTAAGCTGCTTTTTTAACAAGGAAATAACATGATTTATCTTTAAAATAAATCTTTGTCTCATCTAGCCTTGATACAAACCAAGTAAGAGACAAGACAAGTAATTCCAGTCAGATTCACCTGAACAGTACTAAAACAAAATGTATTTTGGGGATAGTTACCAAAAGCGAAATATTCTTAATTGTAGATGTAGTTGACATGTAAGAAGAAGCCTGTTCAGTGATACAGCAGCTGGTCTAGGTGGCACAACTAATTCACAGCTGAGTAGTTTAAACTACAGCAATGCTACATTTTATGAACATGTCTGCATGTGCCCACTTAGATAATTCATTTGGAACCCCTACAATTACCTTTGACTTTAAGGTTACTTTTCAGGTCACTCCTAAACTTTGCTAATCATTTCTCAGACCTTAACATCTGGCGACCTTAACATCTGGCAATAACTCAACTAACCCACATCTCTAAAACTAATGTAACACCATGCTATCTAACACTATAATTTTTTTTATTCTGTATGTCCAACTACAGGAGCGGAGCCATAAATCTTACCGACCCTTGACAGTGCTCACCTTCAGACTGAACTACCTCTTCAGTGAGCTGAATGCAGCTTCCTACCATCTGCTCAACGTAGTTTTACACGCAGTTGTATGCGTGCTTTTCCTGCGAGTGTGCCGACTGTTCCTGGACAGGACTTCTGGCTTGGTGGCAGCGTTGCTGTTTGCGGTCCATCCCATCCACACTGAAGCTGTGAGTGAACATTTGATTGGTTAAAAGTTCATCTAATGTGTCTAATGGCAGAGAAAGATATTCATATGTGGTAAGGTTTCACAATATTTCGCGTCTCAACACTCCACACAGCCGTTTTCACAAATGAAATTCTGCACATTTTCAGCGAATTTCAGGAGGACTGTCCCTAAAATCATCCTAATCTGGTGGGTCACCTCATGGCGGGAAACCATCCCGCTGTTTGTGTACACACGTGCGGCTCCTCCTGTAAATGTCAGGAGTTTTTCAGGAGTTTAGTTGAAGAGTGAAAGCACTATAGTAGATTCATCCGTCTGCACGAATGAAGCAGGGTGTTTTAATTAGGCTTTTGGGAGTTAAGCGTGGAAATTTCTCACACTGGTTTCTTTCAAATTCTGGCCCATACTTCCTGTTTTCATTCATAGTCACCTACCGCACTTCAAATTGATTTGCTTGAGGCTAGGACATAAATTAATTTGTGATATTTATTTTCCCCATTGTGGGATGAATAAAGGAGTGTCTTACCTTACTCGCTGTACTTTCTGATTTAACAACTCATGCAGCATGTTTTCTATGAAGCAGCACTTACCAAGTTAAAGCACCTGATTCATTGGATATTTACGAGTTCTTAATTTCAACGGAATACCCACCAATTAGTCTCAAGGAAAATAGAGGCCCCTTTCTCTTTGATGGTAATTGCTCAGGTAATGCTCCACCGCACTATAATTTTCAAATCAGATGTCTTTTTGAGAAGAGTTCATAACACAGAATATCCTTTCTTTATCGGAATTGTTAAAACCCTCAGAAAATGAGTCAAGTAGTCACACAGCACCAATTAGGAACACCGCAAGTCATCCCAAACATTGTTCAAAGTATTATTAAAGCTCATTTTCATACCTTACATGTACTATAATTATATTTGCTCAATCAGTCTCTGTTGTAGGATAAAACAGTCAAATGCACAAAGAATGTCAGTCATATAAAAATCATCTAGAGAAGGAAAAGTTGATTTGCTTTCCTCTTCACTCTCTCGCCCTCCTCAACTCTCTCTGTACGTTGATTCACAGAGCTCGGGGATCAAGAGAATTGATTGTGAGCTGTATTTTTATAACCCCTGAAGTCCTATCTTGAACACAACTTGCGTCAACACAGTACAGGCGTGCGGCATAATTAAGTTGCCATAGCGAATTACACAGGTCAGACATGAACTGTCATCATAGTACTGAAACCCCAGGGTTCACCCTGAAGTTGCCTCATCAACCACAAAAGATTCATTGTCCCACAGACACAGGCAACCTCCCGCAGGCGTCAATCTTGAAATGTACAAGCAAAGAACGCTGACATGTCGTTACGGTCAACGATTCACAAATACACAGCACGGCATAGAAGAGTCCTTACATTGCGTGAAAACTAAAACCTGGTTTATACTGTGTGGAATATATGCAGTGGCTACACCATAGTGGGCTACGCTGTTGTGAGCACTAATACTTGTGCGTTAGTGTGTCTGCATAGCTTGGCAATACTCCACCTACAGCTTGTTATATTGGCATTTTTCAGTTCTGCTACATTACAGGAAACCATGGCAACTAAACCTGAGTGTTTTAAATTGGAGTTGGAAATGATAAATATTGAGCAGCAGTTGATTATATTGGCTTGTAGCGATCTTCCTTTTGCAGAACTTTTAAATGCAGGAAATACAATGCTATCCAGCGGTCCAATCACAAATATGGTTGTGTTGATTCAACGCTTACGAGGAGTTGCACGTCAGGCTACGTAGGCTTCTCTTTAGCTACAGGGCTAAGTAAACCAGTGATGTATGCTACAGAGAAGAATAGATGCAGAAATATAAATCAGGCTTCAGCCAAAGGGTGCTCCTATTGAAAGGAAAAGCAAACACTTTTTAGGTCCATTGTGTTCATGTAAAGCTAGCTGGAAGAAAATGCTCCAGTGTATGTGTTTATGTACGTCCTGTACATGCCCTCACTGAACAGTGAGTGAGGGATTAGGAAATCACTCATCTGCTGTTTACAATACTGCAATAACATCGCTGCCTCAGTATTGTTCCAACATGCCCACCAGCTCTGTGTGCAGGGTGGGGTCAGATATTGCGTCTGTTTTGCTGAACAGGTGGCTGTATTTACGCTCTTATCTGTCTCCATGCACAGTTTCTCACAGGGTTAATACAAAAGCTCTCCAACCCATCGTTTGGGAAAGAAGCCAAGTCACAATTGCTCAACTTTATAATTTTAAAGTGATTTGGAAGTGATAAACTGTCAGATCTTATACCTAATGCAAGGTATTTCCTTCTTATTGTGGACTTTGTTTACTTGCATTCTTTTGACTCTTAGATGGGATTAAGGCCACCATCACTTAAAACCCCTACTGTTAATACTCTTAAACCCCTTCTGTTTATAGTCCTCATGAGCAAAGGAATGGCTGTCCTCTTCTTCTGAATTTGGACCTTTTTGTTTGGGCTTCAAAAATATTTTGAATGTCACCACTCCCTCCTGCTCACCTGCACTTTTCCTTCTGCGTTCATACATCGGCTCACCCCCAATTCTTGCAGAAATCTTACTATGGGGCTAGCAGGACAAAATCTGGGTAAAGTCAGGTTGGAATTTCTGGAAATGTTCTTTTTATACTCCTCATGAGGAAGGAATCACAGTCCTCTTTTTCTGAATGTTGGACGTTTGCAGAAATGAATCCTGACAGGATTGATGCTGGTTCTGTACAATTCACTGCTACTTACTAAAGAAATCAATAATTTTGGACACAATATTAGTTTGGAAATGATCTGACTGATTTAAAATAGTCCTTTTAAGAAAAACTTCTAATGCTTTAAAAACTGTCACTTTGAGAATAGTGTTGAGTATTAATAGTAATAATATTAGCCTACTCAGCTGTTACAAATCACATTAAGTAAATAAACATTTCCATTGATGGTGAAGTAAGTCAACAGGATAGCATGATGACCTTACTTCCTCCTAACTGTCAAATTCTTTTGACTTCTTGATTTATGAGTCTTTAAACACAGCATCAGTCCATACTGTGTTCCTTGTGT